GATGATTTTAATGATCACACGCGTGGGAGATGGACACCGTACGCAGACAGCATCAGATCTCAAAATGGTGGAGCATTGATCAAACTCTTATAGCCTCTAGTGGCCCCCACCTAATCATAAAAGCCTAAACATTCACATGCTTTCTCTCACACAGCGCCTAAGCTACGACCTTGGCTCCCTGTTTATCTGCTCCTGCTGAGATGGGGCAGAAAACTCCAGCATGTCTCTGTTCTCTTCTAATCAGACAAATAAGGCGATGACTTTCTGCAAACAGCATTTCTTATAACTCAGCAGTATAATGCATCATAAAACAATATCATTCATTCACATAATTCTTAGCGTGCACAGTTCTGAATGGTGCAATAGAGTCCAAGATATAAGTGCAAGTAGAATGAAGAATAGCCGAAAGGTCCTCAACATTTTTACAATTGGAGTTCATTATTCCAGAGTCCATAAAGGCAGCAGAAAAGGCAGGTGCTGTCAGTACATTAAGCGCTCGCTTTTTGCGCAGTGGGGCGTTCGACTTGTCCATCGAGCAGCGCAGTGTTAGGGTGCACAACACAGGAAGATGATCGGAAATGCGTAATTCGGATATATCCGTGATGCACACTTCCAACCCGTGGGAAAGCACCAAGTCCAGTGTGTGACCTTTTTCGTGCGTGGGACCAGAAACCCACTGGGTCAAGTTAAAGGAATCAATAATATTTAAAAAGTCCTTGACCAAAAGTTTGGAATCACAGCAGACATGAATATTAAAATCGCCAAGGATCAAAAAGCTGTCGTATTTAAGAGCGATTCCAGCCATAAAATCAGAAAACTCTTTGATAAAATCCTTGTTAAACTTGGGAGGGCGATATATGAGGGCACACAGCAGAGGCGCAGCAGGATTAAGGTGTAACTCAAACAGCTGGAGTTCAAAACTAGAAAATGAGTCATGCTGTAATATTTGATGGCAATGAAATCGAGGATTGAACACAGTGGCTAGGCCTCCCCCCCTGCCAGTAGGTACAGATGACACTCCCATCACTCCCCAGGTCTCCCACAGCTTTATTTTGGTGCTACCTTATACCCTTCAGACGTACTCAGACTGGAACCTCTGTCCGAGGAGCTTTTAGCCTTTATTTTATTGCTGCAGCCACCAGTGTCGTCCAGTTGGGTGATCCTCTGCTCTTCTTTCTTCAACCTCAGGGGTTAGACAACCCTTCAGTCGTGGCACAGATCAGGGGATTATTCTGCCCCGATTTCAAACAACGATCTGTGTATCCTCGGGTCACAGCTGTGTCCCCCAGAGAAAGGAACAGGAACGTGTCCCCCTTTTGCCCAAGAGCCTCTCGAACCTTGTTGGTCTGGCGTTCCTGGATTTCCACCACCCCCTTCATGGTTATTGCTGTGTTTATGAGATCCATCCTTTTGGAGTGACTAGCTGGAGCCCAAGACGCCATGACACTTGGACCCAGTTGGTGTCTCGGCAGTCACTGTGTCTGTCTCTGCTGCGAAGGATCCTCGTATCTCTGTGACCTCGTCTGGTGTCTGTTCCTGTCTCTGTAAGAGACAGCAAACCAAAACACCTCTCTGCCTAGCTCTAATAATCTAATGTTGTTATCCAATGTTCCTCTAGTGATTCAAAATCGGTTTAGCACATCATGTTAGGACCTCCTGACCAGTTACTTATTCTAATCACAATTCATGTGTGTGTAAGCGTGTTTGCATTTAGCCCTCTGCACTCAAGGCATTTCCTACACTTTATCAGTCCGGACCATCACGCCGAACGAAGCTTACGACCTTCAAAAGGCCGAGTGCCAACTCATTATAAGCACATTTGCAAGGTGTGTCTAAAAATTATTAAAACCACTCATTTTAACAAAAGACATCAAAAACAAATTAGCCATTTATAATTCTAACATCTGCCCCGATTTTCACAAAAATCATGTGTTTGCTTCCGCCTACCGTCCCACGGTTTCCTCTCCAGTGTGGTACTCAGCTTCTCATGGTCACGGGCATTTTATCTTCTAAACGCTATTCAGTTCATTTCAATGATTAATGCTTAAACATGGAAATAATGATTTATGCTTCTCACTGGTTCTCTAAAAAAGTCCGGAAACCTTTTGGGTCACTATTAGCTTAAGTTTCACCGTACCTAAGTTATTAAAACACAAGTCATAAAAATGTTCATATAACCCTTGTTTGATGTTAAAACTCAACTTCCCCCCTTTTTGACACATGGGAATGTGTCAAAAAGGGGGGAAGTTGATCATTAAGTAGAAGTTGATCACCACTTCTACTTAATGTACTTACAAGTGTTTTTTTCCCCCTTTATTTATTTATTTTTTACATAATTTCCTTTTCCATGCAGTCTATGGCCAGCTTATAGTTCATATTCATATTTACCTACAATTTGTCATTTGAGTTACTCTCATCAGCCTTCAGGCTCCAACTATATTGTCATTGTTTACATGAAAAATGAGCAGAGCAGGATTATGTACCAAGAAGGACGTGGCTGACTAATAATAGCGTCACACACAAAAGAAAGAGAGATCTGGACAATGGGCGGTGCAGTTAAATAGAGGGCTCATCTCTGATCTGTCCAGCGAGCTGCATCCATGGTCACACTTCTCCTGCCTCTGACTCTGGTAAGTTCCCTTCATAATACGCTCTGTGTGTAGAGTTAGACACAAGTTTTATATCTGTGCTTTCTTCATTTGCTCTCCTGATATTTAGACTGTAGTGTTGATATTTTAACCTTTGCATTTGTCAAAAATGTGTCATGCATCTCTGTACAGTGAGAATACAGATTGATCTAGTGTTAGTTTATTCAACATGTCAACCTGGTGAACAGCGGGGACATAGCATAGCAGAGACATAGACAATAATAAGTGTTTCAGTGCTATTTTGCTAGCAGCCCAGGTTCATCTTTGGGCACAGACTGTATGTACACTAAAGCTGTGCTACCATAAAGCCAAAGCAATGGGATGATCAGCTGAAATAATACAAACTGGGGAGTTTAAATCTGCAGCCAAAGCAACTATGTTCAAATCCGAGGTTGACGTAAACTTTCCAAAACACTTTGGGTGGGTTTTTTTTCATTGCCAAGTTGGCCACACCACAGAGGGTCATAAGCATCCATGAGTTACTAGCAATAAATCCCTGATCCAGGCTGGGCACCCCAGAGCACAGTCACCCACCACAGCTGTCTATCAGTTGTCCCCTGGTCTATTTGGGGAGACAGGCCACTCTAAATTCCTCTTGGCCAGATAATCCTGAGGAGAAAGACAGGGATAAGGGACAGAAGAGATGGATGAGGGACGGCTATCTGTCTGGAATTTTCCTAATCCGCTGGAGCAGATTGTAACCCCATCGTGCTAGGTGGTCTTATGTGGTGCCATTCTCAAATGGAGCCAAATAGTGAAATGAGAGGGGAGGTATGAGGAGAAAGGCTGGCCTAAATTGAAAGAGTGAAAGGGTGAGTGCTGCAAATCACTTGCAAATTTGATGAAGGACAAAGGGCACGAGACTGAGGAAAGGTAAGACCAGGTAATAACAAAAGTGAAAACAACACTTTAACAATGAGGTGTGACGATAAATTAAGTATCTTAAACACATCTTAGTGGTGTTAATGCGTCACTGTTTTTTATGGCATGTGGTAGAAAAGCAAAACTGCACTCGGTAAGTTCTGTGAAAAACTAGGACACTGATTCCACAAACATTTTGTGCCTGTACGATATTTTCATGCACAAAAAACACAATTTCTTAAACATGCATTTAAAAAAAGACAATAAAGCTTCAGCAACCTCAGACTTTAAAATGGATTTAAGGTTGCCTAGACCAGCAACTTCCTTTTGTCCAAACAGGTGAAGACCGCTTAACACCTCTTATCCTCTGTCAACTCATTATTAACAATTTCCCCACCTATTGTTTGGCTCCATTTCTATATCGTTCGGTTTTAGACTTTTATAATCCATCCGCACGTGGATTTGTTTATTTTTTTATCTGATCCGCTGACAAACAAATACTGCCAGTGGTTCAGCGTGTGTTTCTGTGTGTGTTTCTAATCTCTCCCGTCTCTTTTCCAGTGAGATCTCAACAGCAGGATGCCTGAACATGCGTGAGTGTTTTCTTACTATAGATACACAGACATTAAAAAACACAAAAACAGGTATTTTAAATTATGTATGTTTCTCTTCTTTTACAGCCAAGAGGTAAGACCATCTGGCTGCTAACTTGTTGATACAATATTCAACAATTTTTATAACTAAGTTAAGCTACTAAACTACATATACATCATATTTACTGATAATCTTGTGAATCATCTGAACCATGCAGCGGAAACCCAAGATCTCAGCCTCAAGGAAGCTGATGCTCAAGGTACGAGAAATCATCTGCAGACTTATTTGATTTATTTGTGTAATACACGAGTTCAGCCCACAGGAGGGCAGCAGATACAGACAACTGAAAGAAAGCCAGCATCTGAATGTTTCACTTGTCATTTGAGAAAAAATGATGTGATGAGGTGTTTTGAAAGAATCTGAACGCATATGGAAAACATTATTTTATGTTGGTTTGACAGAGTCTGATGGTGGCAAAGGCCAAGGAGGAATTGGAGCAGGAGATTTTAGACAAAGAGGAGGAGAAACATAGGTACCTGGCTGAGAGAGCTCCTCCTTTAAATATGAGTGGCCTGAGCCTTGGCCAGCTTCAGGTATGTTCGCTACAGATTCCCCCAAATCTCTCATTTTTCTTTCCATCCTTTGCAGCGACAACTTAGATCATTCCCAAATTATGTCAATAAAGCAAATCAGGACAAGAAACCAAGTAAAGAAAGGACTGCACATGATTTCATACTAAGTTTTCCTTTGTGCATGTGTAGGATCTCTGCAGGGAGCTACATGCTAAGATAGATGTAGTTGACGAGGAGCGATATGACATTGAAGCTAAGGTCATGCTCAACACACGCGAGGTTGGTACACTTTATTATCCCAGCGCATTTCCAATAAGTAGAATATGAAATGCTTCATATCAGTTATACTTATATTATGCAACACTATGAGCACCATGAGAAACTCCTACATCCTGCTCCCTCCACTCTGTGTCACTCGACCAGATTAAAGACCTGAATATCAAGGTGCTGGACCTCAGGGGGAAATTCAAGAGGCCTAATCTTCGACGTGTCCGTGTGTCAGCTGACGCCATCCTTCGCTCGCTGCTGGGATCCAAGCACAAAGTCTCCATGGACCTGCGAGCCAATCTCAAGTCTGTCAAGAAAGAGGACACTGAAAAGGTGCATGAAAAATGGATAAAAGAGAAGATGCAATCATGCATATGCACACAGAATACAATGAAACCAGGCTGAGCAATGTCTGTGCCATCCTTAGAGCACAGACATGCATTCAGTTACTGTAAGATACAGACATGATGTCAGCGCTTGAGATGTCATGGAACACCTGGAAACAGTGTGTGTGAAAAGTGTGTTTAAGACACCGAGTAGGAAGCCACTGCAGGGCGGGGGCCGTGTGTTTGTGAGAGAAGGCACCGAACACAAGACAATGATCCCATTGTACACCGAATATTAGCCTTTGTGGCCACGTCTCCCAACTCCTGAGTGCATGCATGTGCAGATTAGCTTGTTCCGGTGTGTGTATACCTGTGAATGAATGTGTGTCTCTCCAAGTGTGAGGTAAACCAGTTATACTAGTATGGTAATAAACCATTCTCCAAAGGGCTTCCCATTGAAATGAACAGGTCTCAAAGGCTTAGATGCAACAATAACATTTTCTGAACCTGCTCTACTTTGCAGCCTCTGTTTTTAGTCTTTTATACTCTCTGTTGCACAATCCAACTGTCTCCCTTATCTGCAGAAGAGGCCAGTGGAGGACAGTGACTGGAGGAAGAATGTGGAAGCCATGTCAGGGATGGAGGGAAGGAAGAAGATGTTTGATGCCGCTAAAGGTTCTGCGCAGTGAGGCCAGGAGGTGGGCTGGGGTCACATCAGTGACATCACTCCCCTACATCTGAATCTGTCCTGGTCTTCCTGGGTCTATTGTGGCGTCTGTGTTGTTGTTTCACGCTGATGTCCCTGCGGATGCTCCTGCCATGGAGGTGACAGTATGCCCCCACACCCCTGAAAGGCTTTCAACTATTCTGTCAGCTTTGTTTTTGATAAGGTGTTAAAATGACTCTGTCTGTTATGTAAGATTATTTGTACTTTTCACACCATGTTGCACCAAAGCCTCAGACAATCGGCCTGATGTTTGTGTGGCGGACAAATGTGCCAAATTAAACTGTACGTGTGATTGTTTTGCTTGGGGATAAACTTTAACCTTGTAATGTAGATTATCAAATAATAGTGGTAAAAAAAGGTGCACTTCATTGGCTGGACTGAAAGGGAAAAAGAACGAATAAAATATCAAAAGTATACTTTACATGAAACATTTTTCTGTGTGATACTCCTTCATGTGTGATCAGCTGCTGTATTCAGATATATAAACTGCTTTTATAAACTCTGAGAATTTTAGTTTCTGTGATCCTGTTGCAGTAGGACCAGCTTTTTATTGCAGGTTGCAGACAGCACATAGAGCAAATGCACAGATGAACACGTGCAGTTTAAATGGTTTGTGTGTGTTCTTATGGCTAAAGTATCATCCACTACTAAAAAATGCTTATTTCTCCTCCAGTCTGAACACAATTTGTTCAGTCTGTGATGCCAACCTTGCCAACAACTCCCATATGGTTAAGACATTTAACTGCTAGATCATACGGACTGGGATTGACTCCCAGGACACCTGGGATTAATGGGAACAATACCTTGCTGTGCTCAACCTCACTAAAAGAAAGTTCCTACTTTGATCCGATGAATCCGCTCTGCAACCTAATATATACTTAAAAACGGCAAGCATCACTACTGCTAATAGCTTTTCAATATCGGTTGCAGTTACTTGTTAGTTTGAAGGATTACTGTTTGCTGCAACAACTTGTACATTTTAACTGATATGCTTTGTGTGCATGCTGTCCAGATGTAAAGCACTTCTGTGTGTTTTGCATGTCCATAAAGCACACTCTGCTTCAGTACTTTTAAAAATCGCCTTATCCAAATGGATGCAAAGCACCCGCAGTCGTCTTGTGTCTGTAAATATAACTTTTGTTGGGAATGTCTTTCTGTTTTATTTCCGTTTGTTTGATCAGGTCTTTCCTGAAAATGTAAGGCTAACTTTAGACACAGGAACATTAGAACAGACTGAATGGACACTGATGCATAAACACACAGAGTTCATTACAGGACCTAAAATGATACAGCACCGGTGCAGGCAGGGGCATGCAAACTATTTCCATAAGATAGCAGATGCATGATAGACCAACAACGCATGCTATAAGACAGCCTCTTCTTTAAATAAATGGGAAGCAGACTTTCACAGGTGAAACTTGAAAGAGTCTTGATATGCATCTTATGCTATGCCTCAGTTATCAGTTACGATAATATCTAACTTTGTTTACTGAGGAACTGCACAGAGTATAACAGACACAGATGTGATATAAAGAGTGTAGGTCAGAGTCCAACACACATGGGCTCCAGAGAAAGGTGTGGACTCACACAGCAAACACTCTGACTCAGACTGTAGTGAGAGTCCAGTACAAGAAAGGATAACATATATTTGTATGCTTTATTATTATCATTTAATAAGAGTTTGATTGCTATTAACTACTTGTTGTACTTGTGCAGGTTTTCCTTTTAGCTACAGCCTGTAAGATCCACACAAACAAAATGAATACAAGTGTAAGATTAATTATTCTGGGATGTTTTATTGCCATTGCCCGAATAAGCGAAGTGTCCAGGGGCGGGAAAGGAGTGCCAGGTACAGGTATTACGCTTTCCACACTTCCACCGTACAAGGTGCTCTCTGGCGCGCGCTCTCCCCACCCCTCACTCAGTCTGTCAGGTGGGGAGCTTACCTTTGTGGTCACGTGACGCGTCTGTGCGCTGCACCGGGCTAAAGGTGGACTGCTTTGTGCCGCGGTGACTGTAATTCGACTGCCGTCGTCTGAGTGCCAGTCGACTTCGTCTGTGATCGTAGCTGGAAACTATTTTATTTTCTCAATATGTCTGTAAGTCGGAGAAACTGGTCGGCTTTGTCCAGGTAAGATTCAAAGACTTGTGGGTTTCTATAGCGACTAATTACCTGTGTTACCTGCGTTTCCGAGCGATGCCCGCGCCTACTGTTTTTTAATAGATGCTGGATGTTTAGGAACGCGCATAATTAACATGTTGCAGGGTTTTCACTCTGGCAACAAAGCATCCCAATTTGGAAGAAATGATTTATTACATTCATGTAGTAACTGTGTAACATGCAGTCAAACTGTGTCGGTTGGTGCCACTGTTATACAGTCACTTCTGCCTTTTTTTGCCCGTTACAGTCTAGAGATAACGGAGAGTTTTGTTCTGTTTGGCCCTTGTTGAGCTCAGTTAAAAAGGAAACACCAGCCTGCCGCTCTGCAGCTGGCTGATTGAATCCACTGATAATTCTTTTTAAACAGGATGCAAAATACAGCCACAAAAAGCGGTTGATGAACAAGTAAAGCAGGTTCCCTGTAACGCTTATTAATCTTTTCTTTTAAAGTACAAACCAAAAACAAATAGTGTGGAGGATCCACTCATCAAGTTCTCATGTACAGCACGCTGTTTTACATATGTCCACCACCCGTATCCTCACCGAGCCTCTGTTGTTTTGTTTGTTTGTTTTTCCATATTCGCTGATTGTCTTGATTCAGCCTTGCACGACAGTGGACAATGGAGGACGAGGAGGAGGTGGAGCGGGAGAAGAGGAGGAGGGTGAAGAGCTCAAGCACCAGTGCTGACCAAGATGATGACTCCAGCCCCACTCCCACTCCTACAAACACATCTGCCAGCGAGAGCGCCTTTGGGACAGACTCCTCAAGTGAAATGTCCCAAAGCTCCAACAGGTTGTTCTCATAGTTTAGTAAAACAAATATGTCAGGTTGGACTCATACGCTGTCTAAACACAATCCTCTTTGTGGACTTTGTCTGTGTGCCTGTTTTGTTCTTTTGGTTTCTGAAGGCCTTTTTAGTGGTTTCAAACTAGCAAAGGGATGATTCTCACAGTTTTGCCCCATGGGAGTGTTTCTGTATACGTTTCAAACCCATGAAAACACCTGATACTCACGCAGGGAAAGTATGAAATGCTGTCAGAAACCCCGACAGCTGAGTACCTGTCTTCAAAGAGCCTTTTATAATAGAAACCTGATCAGATGCAGGAATCTTTTTAGGTCTCTCTAGAGACCATTCATCACATGTGTTGGTCATTAATGTGCACATATGTACTGTTTATTGCCAGCATGGAGCAGGTACAGCTTGACTTTGTGGAGATGCTGCGAGTGCGTGACGAAAGGCGAAGGATGCGGCACGTGGAAACGTTGAGACAACAGAAGGATGGAGGGGAGGATGAAGCTGAGGTCAGCAAAGGAGGAGGTGCCAGGGTAGAGCTGCTGGGAGACATGGATGAAGAGAAGGAAAGTGTTGTCAAACCACAGCCACCAGTAAAAACATCTTCTCACAGTCCCACCAGCAGCAGCAAAAGTAGAACCAGCATCTCAAGCAACAAAGTAAGAAGGAAGTTGCTCCTTAATTTCTGGAAGAAAATCTAAAGAAAAAAACATCTCACAGATCTTTTAAATGTGCTTGAGTTTCACAAGACTGCAACAGTGAAAGTCTGTAACTCAGCTGCCAATTAATGATGTAAATCGAGATTTTTCACGTGATTATTTAGAACTTTTGTCCACCTGGAGTGGAAGAAACAAGGTCATAACCTCAGTTTTGATTAAATGACCAACAGAGAGATTTTGTTGATTCTCTGAGAAACGTTACAAATGATAAAACATGAACTGACAGATCCTTTGACAAGAAAGCACCAATCTTCCCTCACACACTAAGTCATGACACCAGTAGCAGCACCCTGTGCAGTTAACTGCTATCCCACACAGAGGGGGAGTTAATTATTCTCTAGATTTTACAACAACAAACCGTTTTTTGTAGTGCAGCATATGATGTCATTTTTGCTATTAAAGACCAACGCTGGTGTGGGCATTTTCCTCCTGTGGTCACAAGAAGAAGTTAGAATCTACTTTTAACTTACAGCTTTAGAAAAAGAAGACAACCCTTTACTCCCCGTCTTGTTTCCGGACTTGAACTCTCCCCGCGAGTCAAGTGACCATGCAAATCATCTCTAAAGCTTTGATAAGACGTGCTTAAGGCCATAATTTGAACTTTATCTTTTATTACCTTCGCAGGCTGCTTTAGCTCTGTGTATCTGCAAATGAGGCCATAACCGCGCCGTGTTATGTAATGCAAGGTGTGTCGTCTGTACAAAAGCTTGTGTGCTATGTGCTCATGCTGATTGTCTGCCTGTTTCTTCCTTTGTCAGCATGAAAATGAAGAGTCATCAGGCAAAGACCCTGATCCAAAACCCTCCTCCAGCCCAGCTCGCAAGTTTGTCAGGTTAACAGTGACACTTCTTTTTTGTTGCTCTTTTGTTCTTTGTTGGCTGATCACCTAAAAGGATCAAATGCATTTTATTTAGATAAGATAAAGGTTACTGATTCCACAAATGGAAATGAAAGCACCGGAACAATGTAGAAATATAAAAGAGAAAACAGGACGTATAAGATTGTTTTGTATAGATCGTGAACCACATAAAGATATCCAGAGAATAAGATGGAAGAGTAAAAAAAAGCTGCCTTCAGTTTTCACGTTAGACGCACTTTAAGATTTCATTTAGGCAACAGATCAGAGAAAACTGTACTTTCAGTGGTCACTAGTTCCTTTCTCTTCAACCTCTCCTTAAACTCACTTCTCTTTCTTGCCTTTCAGTTCTGTCTCCATCTCACTTGACAAGAGTCCATCTGCCAGCGGGCGCACAACTCCCATGAGCCCCGGTTCTCCGTCAGCCCCCTGGTCACCTCGCGAACACTGGACTTCCCCCCAAAGCCCTGTTCACAATGGGCACACGGAGGAGGTAGTTCACCACACACACACGCACAAAGAAACACAAACACAAATAAACTGACATGTTCGTCTCAGCTTCAAGCTTTGCTTGTCAAATGCTGTATAAGGCCCGCTAAGCACTGACGCTGCATCTTATCAATCCAGTGTGGGCACCAGCGCCCTCTGGTGTTATAAAGAGTAAAGGTTCCTTATGGCGGTAAAAACAGTCTTGGCTCCAGAGAGGTACCTGCAGCTAAACAGCAAACCTAAGTTGTTTTAATGTCTCTCAGACCGGTGTGAATCGCTCCACCAGTGGAAACTTTGAACAGGCAAACAAACCTGCCTTCATCAGACAGAGCTCCAGGACTGTATCTTTCAGGGTAAACACTGACACACACGCACACACAAATACATGCACGAGGACACAAAACCATTCAGGCATTCTTCCTGGCAAACGTCAGCATGAACTTTTGCCAATTTGACTGTTAAAACACGATTTTATCTGCCGTCAGCTTTCAGAATATCAGTTCAGGATAATTTGCTTGTGCCAGTCAAGCTTCCAGCTCATGTTAATAGCTACATGAATATTGACCAGCTCTTACTGCTGACTGGTTGCTTTGTTAACACCCAAACACATCCCCGTGCAGAGGATTATTGAGCAGGTCACTTGCTGTAAGTGCCGCTAACACGCACTCACACAGGCTTGGTCTTCCACAGATGATGAGAAAGAAAGAAGAGGATCCTTCGCCGCTCCAGAGGAGGTAAGGAAACAGCCTTGTGTTCATTTTGTATCAGCCTCGCTTAGTTGGTTTGCTGACTTGCTTCTTCTGTTGTAGCTCCAGTGTGAGGATGGCCTCCAAGAAGTTTGAACCCAACACCGTGAGATAACTTTAATTTACTTTCACCTAATATGATTGATAATCAGTAATCATTCATCGCTTATCCATTATTTTCTTGTTTGGCACTTTACAAAAACACAATTATATTTACAGTTATAGGATTATGAGATCTGTAGACCTGCTAGCACTACACACAATGTTATGCACAATTTACAGTGTTGATTGTCTTTGTTTTGAAGCAGGACCAAAATGAGGATGAAAACAAAGCATCATCTTTCCAGAGAAAGTGAGTTTGACAATTTTTTACTCTTTATTTATTTGTTTATATTTTATTGAGTGTAACTGATTACACTTGTACATTAATGTATTCTGTCTTCCCAGCTCTAGGCAGAGGATTTCATCTAGATCCATCCAGGAAAAGATGGAGAGGCTGGCTCAGGCAGCACAGGTCAGCCTCTCAGCCCTCCATGTACTAAAGGGGAAATTATGTTCCTGTGTTCTGTAGCAAACATCAACTGTCAGTCGCCAATGGTCTTCTCTTGGCTCTTCATCCACAGAAGTCCGAGCTGACGCGATTCCCGGATGTCACCCAGAGGACTCTGGTCCTGCTGGAAGAAGTGTCCAGGAAGAGAGAGATCTTTGAGAAGGAGCAGCAGGTGCAGAGCCCCACCAGCCCCGGAGTTTCCAAACAGGTACACTCATCATTCGCCCAAAAGCTCTTTTCAGTACTAGATGTGTGCGTAGCGTTAGTTAACAAATGATTTTGTAACTGTTGTTGATTTCAGGAAATTAGAGGCTTGACATCAGGAATGTCAGAGCGGATCAACCGCTGGCTCCACAAGAGCAACAAAGCTGGGTCTTCGCACAGTCCTGCTGTAAGTGCAGTGTATGGAAGCCAGGGGGCAGTATTACTCTTTGAGCTGTAAGTCCTGGCTGAGCAGGACGTAGTTCGTTGTTTGTGTTGCCTACATTAAATTAAAGAGTTTGCCATTATGTAGGTAACTACGTAAAGCGCATGACTGTCGTTAATCGTGAAGAAAGTTCTGATCAATTAATTCTTTTTAAACATAGATTTTAAACATGGAAAACAATGTCTATCTGGGTAAATTCATAAGCACACTTTAAAGCAGAGGGTCTCTCTCAGTATGTCTTGAATTGTTATCTGTGGCGCCTACAGAAACACTGGCATGACTGACTTCGTGCTAATCTGTCCTAACATCACTTTTGTCAGAGTAGAGTGACCCGTTCCTCCTGCTTTGTGCCATTGGCTTTTTAGCAGTTATCTATTGAGCATGAAGAAATGCTTAAGTCAGTCCAAATTGTCAAACGACTTAAAGACCATTTTAGGGTGTGTTTACAAAACTATTTGCCCCGTAAGAGGTCCCTGCTTCAGAAATATTTCAAAACTCCAGATTTAAAGAGTGTTTTTTTCTTTCTCTTCACTGTAATAAGAACTGATATAATGATTCTGTTTCTGATTTGTAGGATTTGAGACATGTGGACATTTCTAGTAAGAGGAGCCTGTTTGAGAATAGCGGTGAAGACAGTGTCTCTAAATCCAGCCCTGGAAAAATCTGAAGTGAAGGAAGTTTATTTATAATGTCCAACAGGTAAGGATACAAGTGCTACTGAGTTAGTCTTACATGTCTGGCCACTGCTGTTGAGGCAGATTTACCAACTCCACAAATGAAGCAAACAAGAGGAAGCCGTACATGTTTCACTGAACTTTAAAGGCGCTCCTTCAATTATAAATTGCTCTTATTGTGCTTGTATTTGCAGGATTGCAGGATTTTGAGATGGCGAAGGGAGAGGCAGAGATTTGGAAGATTAACGGATTTGATGACTGAGTGATTTTTTTCCCCTTTGCCGTCAAAGCACAAATGTAAAACAGGCGGGAGGAAGAGAGAGAAATGGCCTGTTGGGTTGTATCTTTAGAGGACTGAAAAGGAGGAAACTGCTTTTAAAGTTAAAAAGCTTCTATCTTACACTTTTGCTTTGCTTCTTTAAAAAATAAGTGTGCCTACTTTTAACATTAAAATACCCCCAAAAAACGTGTCAGTGATGTTTTATTTGTTCGTCTTAACGTTGTGTAATTTCTTTGAGCACTTTAAACAGGTGAAGGCTTTAAGGATTATATCTTTTACTGAATTACACCGCTGGGATTGCTGGAGTTGTAATATGTGTGTGTCTTGTTTAATTTGCCAGTGTAATTTTTTTCTTTTTTTTTGGTTTCATCTGGACTTGTGGACGAGATTCTGTCTTTCTAAGTAATAAAATGTTTTACTACCATAACTGTCCGTCACTATTTCTTTTTAAATAGCCCTGGATGAATAAACGCACTTTACCTTATCTCAGACCGGGATGCATATAGATAAGCGCTCCGTGCCTGTGTTTCGTCTACAACAAGCTGCCATACAAGGAAACCAGAATGTGTGTGTGTGTGTGTGTGTGTGTGTGCGAATCAGCTGTCTGTGATCTTTTTGGCTCTGCAGCCCACAGTCATGCTCACGGCGGCCTTTTTGGGAAATGGTGATAATGGAGAGTACATGCTATCTAGAAAGTTATTAATAACACAACAAGGGGTCCTAAAGCCTCATCCGCACAACACAGTCCGTCCTTCACCCGCTGACACTCACCCCACGCTCCCGTTAGAGAAAGTGGGACCTGTCTTGTGCTGCAAATCCACTCTCTCCGGGTCTCTGTCTTGATCCCTTCATCTGATCCTCAGGTACGATTGACTAACTGTAACGTAACGTGTGCACACGAAAGAAAGAGTTTTAACTGGAAAATATTGAAGCTTTTATTGATTTGAACAGAAAGTGAAAAATTCATGATTGGCTTTTTTTCTAAGTAATCAGATTTGCTGCTGCGCACCTGAACGCGCCCTGTCATGTCAGACAACGAGGAAGTGGTGGAGGAGTATGAGGAGTAGGTTGGATTTTTTTCCTACTTAAAATACTTCTAAATGTATCCCGAGAGTACATCCACCGTTTGTCACTGACACGTGGTTTCTTTGCAGCAACTGCATGATCATTTTACACTGTCATGCATTTGTCTTTTTGATCATAATAGTAACGCGCCTATGTGATTCATTTTCACAGGGAGGTGGAAGGTAAGACCTCTCATCATGACTCATACACAGTGCAGTCACTCTGTGGTTAAAACCCTGCTGTGCAGGCAAATGCTTTCTCTTGGCTAATCCGACGAGCGTGATGTAAAAACTGCTGTACTGTATACTCAGTGCGCTTTTATAAGGATTTAAGAGGAATGTAAAGACATGTTGCTAATTGTGTGTAGTTTGAATGAAATGTCAAGATCGTCCATAAATCAAACGTAAATGTTCTGCCTGTTTGTCAACTCCTAATCAGGTGTAGGAGGAGGTTATTACATGTATGTGTGAGAGTTACAGAATTACCGTGTAAAAGGTTTTTCATGGTAAGTTTAATTATAATGCAACACAAAAGCACAAATTATATGTGAAGTCAGGAATTGCTAGTGGGAAAAGTTTGCCTTAAGGACTTCCTGCCAGAAAGTTTTCTTTTCCATTCTTTTGTTGCAGCTCGGTGTGGTTTAGGTAAGGATCACAATCTGGATTAAAAATGAGCGAATCAAATGCTTACATTATGGTTACTCCTAAGTCAGTGTTTCATTAGTTAGTATCATTAATTGGTTTGACTTTGTGTGCTAGAAACAACAGTTTGTAGAGTTTGCACTTCTGATTATGTGAAAAGATTGTTCACATGTTTCTCTCTGCGGTTTCTCTGGCTGCACGACACAGAAGAGGAGGCCGCTGAAGGTACTGACGGCGCTGATATTTATAAATGAGTGTCAAGGTCATCGATGAATGCTTTTGTCACGTTTCAATAGCAAACATCAAGGGTGATGTGGAGGAGCGGTCGACAGCAGTTATCCTGAGAGTCTCTGGGATAAATAGCAGCGCTGTGACTGAGCTTCATCTATAAACACATTTAAAGTGATTGTGATTAATCTCACTTTGAAAGAGATTCTTTGATGTATTTGCTAACTTACTTTGCTTGCTCAGCTATTCTTCTTATTTATTTAACCTCCTTACATTACTTTAATTACTTGACTTACTCTGTTTACTTACTTCACCTACTTCTCATCGCTTTGCTAACTACTTTTCTGCTTTGCTCATCAGAGGAGCAAGGGGTAGATGAGGAGGAGGAGCAGGAGGAGGAGGAAGAGGAAGGTATAATTGGGCAGATGTAATGTTTTTCCTGGCACAGTGCATTGATAGCAACCTGAGGGTGAATTTGTTGATGTGGAAACCACATACTATGTTTGCTCGTTGCCTGTTTGTTTATAGAGCAGTTTCAGTCTAAGAAAAACAAAACAAAACGATGTGGACGCAAAACATTCAACAGAATCAGACAAGACAGAAGATATCAGTTATGTTCACAGGATGACTCATCTCGTCTCTTTCCCTGTGACTGTACTAATGAGGTTATTGATCAGGGAGAGTGATTATTCAGGCTTAGTGAAAGTTAACATTCTTTCTGTGATAAGTCATTATTTGCTTCCTTCTCCACCAGAGGCTCCACAGGAGGAAGACAAACCTGCTGCAGAAGAGGAGGCCAACGAAGAACAAGGTAGACGTTACTAAAAACTTAATGCAGACTTTCCCCAAGTGTGGGGCCCGCCTCCTAGGGGGGGGGAGGCGCAGAGCCATTGCAGGGGTGCGCGGTATGAAAAGGAAAAAAAACAAACAAACAAAAAACAACAACGCTTGGACACGACTAGCCTGGGGCTCCCACACAAACGCAAAGCAGCAGATGAAGCATCGCTGAATATGTTTCCAAACCAACTTCATTCTAAGCCAAAGACTAGAAAATCTGGTGAAGCAAATCTGCCCTTTGGCTTCACCTGCACAGGTGCGGAGGTAGGTCTTCCTGCAGGGTTGGTTTTCCCTGCGTGGGGAGCAGCGCTGGGCTGTTTACATCATGGACAAACAGGATCCCACAGCTGTTTATGTTTTTAAACCCATTTTGCACAGAGAAGCATTTTTTTTAAATGTATTGATCGCAATGTTGAACAGTATTACACAGGAAAAACAACTACATGCAAAAGAATGACACCGTGACGCCTCTGGAGGGACAGTAACTGCGTGACAAAATACTGTTAATCTGACTGTCTGCTCTTCATCTCATGTAAACAATAACGTGGCGCACAGCATGATGGGAAAAAGGCACATACCTTTGACTTTGCCTGATGAGCTCTGTATTCCTCGTCCACACGTAAACGCAAAAAAAGGAGTTTTAAAAATCTCCGTTCTCGGTGATTCGAAACGCCGTTTGAACGAAACAGCTGCGTGTTCAGAAACACCCGTGTAGGTGCGGACGCAGCGTAAAAGAGTTTATTTTATTACTACCTGTAATTTATTGCAGATTACTTGTATTTGCTTAATTGTTTACTAAATGTTTGAGGTGTAAAATAAACCGCAATGGAGCAAAATGTGTGTGCATGTGGTTGGAGGATGTGTGCGTGCGTGTGCGTGCGTGCGTGTGCGCGCATGGGGGGAGGGGGGCGCGAACATTTTTCTTGTAAAACAAAGGGGGGCCCAGCAAAAAAAGTTTGGGAACCACTGATTAATGGGAGAAATGATAGCTTTGGGCCTGTGTTGACAGCGCAGGGAAGATGAGTAATGTCGTTTACCAGTAACCATCACTCACAGGCAGGGAGATAACATGCTATCTCAGACACATTTCATTTTGGTATGTGACAGTCTGCACTTGAGGATCAAGCATGCAGGTTTTCTTAGTCACACCAGAAGGGCCAGCTGGGCTGAGAGTAGTCCTCCAGCCCCTCCCAGCCCCAAGGCTTTCGTTTCTTAGTCAGAACCAGGTGTTTTTCACTGTTTCGGTGTCTCACCTGCTCCCACTGAGATCATTTGAAATGGGAGGGATGTTAGACTTATTCTTACCTTTTGGCTCCTTTATACTGATAAACACCGTGTGAGCTGTCACTTTCCACAAAGACAAAAGGCAGGCGACTTGTTGACGTGCCAAAAAGAACCAAAAAAACAAAAAACCACGACTACACCCTTCCCTTTACCAGTTCAGGTTCTAATTAACCAAGTTGGCAGCATAGGAAACTAGTCTGGGCCTATCAGCTGACTGGACGACGTTTTAGGTTTCAAGCACGGTCTAGCTGTCCTCTATTATTACGAAAACAAAAAAAGAACTTAGCTGCTTCTTTTGCAGAAAGCTAAACTAAAACTAAAGTTTTTATGGCATTCACTCATAATTATTTGGGTCATTCAAAGGTCACTGATCCCAGACCTTCTTGAGAAAGGAACCATTTGCTATCAGTGCTTGCGTCTCTAGATAACGTCTCGCTTGTCCCGAGTGCATTCATGCAATGTGGCACATGAAGCAACACTTCACAGATGAGCGCCTGACTTCCTCGGTGCTCTCTTTCAGTCTTTCCCGTCTTCTCACTTACGCTCTTCTGTCATGTGGCCATCATCACTCACTAAACGACTGTTTACTGTGGCGTAATGCTCAGTCATTTGAGATGTGCTCTCACAAACCCTCTCTCAACCATGTTATTTTGGTTTCAGGTGGAGAAGGCGAAGCAGAGGAGGGAGAAGGTAAGTGACTGGGAATCTCGTTTTGTGGCTCTGTTGTTCTTGGATGTTCTCCCTGACATGAATCACACATCATTACTTTTATTATTAATATCAGCACAAATGGTGTAAACAGACTTCAGTGCCATAACTTGCGGGGGGAACTGGCAGAATTTGTGATTTTGTGCGGTCTCATTATTAATGTGTGGTCTGCACTAACTCATTCATACTTTCTGCTTGACTTTCTTTCATTAACAGAGGAGGAAGCAAAGCCCAAATTCAAGTAAGTAAAACCCACGGATAAACACGTTTTACGATAGCATGGTTATGAGTAACAAACATACGACGCATAAATAAACAAAGAGAGGACTCACACCAGTGTGATCCATTTGTACCAGCAGCAAGCTACAAAAAAAAAAGAGACCACATCACTCCGGTTCTCTGCTCTCTCCACTGGCTCCCAGTTGCCTTTAGGATTGATTTTAAAATCTTACTGCTGGCTTTTAAGGTTTTAAATGGCACTGCACCTTCTTACCTGTCAGAACTCCTTAGTACTTATCGCCCCAGGAACATCTTTGAGGTCAGCCGACCTGATGCTTTTAGATGTTCCCAGGTATAAATTAAATGAGGTTGCTTGATACGATCCTTCTACATCAACATCTTAAGCTCAAAAGTCACAAAGTAATTTTGTTTTTACTTTGTTTTAAAATCCAGGAAGTGCCCCCCCCCCCTCGATTTAAACTCAAACTGTGGAACGTCGTTCCCCTCGCTGCCAAATTAGCTCCCTTCATTAAATCTATTAAAACTCACTGCCATTTGAGTCTGTGTGATTCCTCATTGTGTATCCTGTGGCTTTTTAGAAATGTCCATTCCACCTTTTCTCAGCACGTTGTCTTTTAAATGTGCTTTACAAATACACTTGTGTTGAGAGTTGCATTGACCATAAGTGGCCGTTTTGATTGTTCAGATTTAATTACTTTGATTTAATAAAAACATTTCCAGAGATCTCTAGGCTGTGCCTCTCTGCTCTGGCACTAAGAAAAGAAAATCCCAATTTCTGTCTACATATAGTGCAGTTTGTAGAAAATACAGATATGCAGCTACTTCTGAGCAGCAACAGGCAGCAACACGTGCAAACACAGAGGGGACATTTGTTTGGCACATGCTTATTGTTTTTGATCCTCGTTTGACACCAACTGTCATCACAACTCAATTTCCCTGTTATTGATCTTTTTTTTTTTAACTGAATTGTTCTTATTTAACCCACGCTTGTTAACTTAATATCTTTTCCTGCTTTTTCAGGCCATTCATCATGCCAAACCTTATTCCCCCTAAGATCCCAGACGGCGAGAGGGTGGATTTTGATGTAAGTGACACAATACAGTACTTACTGTGCATGGGCTTTTGTATCCTGGTGTATTATGTACAGGTCTCAGGGTGGAGTAGACATGTCTTCACAGCTTTCACTCTGTATTTTTCTAGCTTTGTCTAAGCCTGCTTTTAATTTAGGACCAAAAACAAATATGTGCATCAGTATAACATAGAACTGGGTCACTGAATCCAACAGGATATACATCGCAAGAGAATGGAGAAGGACCTGATGGAGCTTCAAACTTTAATCGAGGTTCACTTCGAAAGCAGAAAGAAGGAAGAAGAAGAGCTCGTTCAGCTCAAAGAAAGGATTGTGAGTGCACCACACTACAGCCAGTCAAATGTAAACCACTTCCCACCTCAGACATTACAGATCTGCTTTAGGATCTGTTTTGATGAGATGTGATGATCTGTTGCTCAGGAGAAGCGTCGCTCTGAGCGAGCAGAGCAGCACAGAATTCGCAGCGAGCGAGATAAAGAGCGACAGAAGCGTCTTGAGGTAGAGTCCTGTTCTACGCTTTAACACGGTCTATAAAGTGGCACGCGTTTCACCTCGGATCATCTTTCTCTCGGGGTTCTAGGATGAGAGGATTCGCAAGGAGGAGGAGGAGGCCAAGAAGAGGGCAGAGGATGATGCAAAGAAAAAGAAAACCCTCACCAGCCTCCACTTTGGAGGTTACATGCAAAAGCTGGTGCGTCAGTGGAGTTTTAACAGTGGGGGTTTCCAAAAAGCTCCACTAGTAACTTTTATAACAGAAATTATTTTATTTTTAAAGACAGACAAACGGAGTGGCAAGAGGCAGACAGAGAGAGAAAAGAAGAAGAAGATCCTGAACGAAAGGCGCAAATCTCTGGACATCGAGAACATGAGTCAGGAAAGACTCAAGTAGGTTCAGACGCACAGAGCAGGACTTAGAATCTGTAGGTTTGTTCACTTACAAAGAAATGTGGTTTCATTTTAATGGAGAGAGACGAATATGAACCAAAAATTAATCAATGCACTGCCTCAACTCCCTGTGTGTATCAAGAACACGTGTCCATTACATGCAAATCATCTGATAACATTTTGGTCATGTGGAGGTTTTATTTCTGGATTTTAGTTAATATTCTGTCTCCCTCCATTAAAACAAATACTACCATTAAAAATAGAGACTCTTCATTTCTTTGTAAGTAAGCAAACAAATTCAGCAGGGCATCAAATAATTATTTCTCCCACTGCATGTTTCATTATCTCACACAATAGCTATTGCATTTTTTCTTCACGACACACAAAATTAAAATAATAAAACAATGAAAATAATTCTCGTTATAATAATTTGTTTTCCAGAGAGAAAGCTAAGGAGCTGTGGGAGTGGATCCAGCAGCTGGAGGCAGAGAAGTTTGATCTGCAGTACCAGTTCAGCAGACAGAAATATGAGGTGCGCTCAGCTAATTGAAGAAACAAAGACACGGCATCAGTGAGACCTGGTCACAGTGTAACAAAATGTTTTCTTCATTCCAGATTAATGTGCTGAGGAACCGTGTGAGCGACCATCAGAAAACGTGAGCACAAGCTCGAAATCCCATTTTAATTAAAAGTTTAAAACATGTAGTTACCATAGAGCGCACATATGATGTCACACAGGTGTAACAAAATGCAACAGACAGGTGAGGTTTGGGACAATAACTTGATTGGAGAGTGTCAAGCTATGTGTGTGTGAGAGCATTAGAGTCATGGGAATTTAAAACTTATAGTGAGACGGGGTTAAAAGACAGAGAGAGGGAGTGTAACACTTTGTTAGTAACAATAACCAAAAAAAGTAATATAATTAACAAATAAATGTTTTAAGAGGTGAGGAGAAATCAAACAAATCATATATAATAATTAAATGAGTGATCAAGAAAAGAAAAGAGCAAGTGTGGACAAAGCAGCAGGAGAGGCCAATGAGATGAGTGAGGAGAGGCTGACTTTTAGTTGCAGCTATGAGTGAACGGTCGTGCATCTCCCTTAGAGCGACTTGACAGAGTTTTGCATGAATCCCTTCTTCTGTGATTCATGCCGGTGTTTGTGGGGGAAGCTTTTTGTTAAGAAACGACCGTCTCTGAGGCCCAAGTGGAAAAGCTTTTTGTTTTCAGACTCCCTGTAGTGTCACCAAATATTGTGTATTCACAATCTCACAGCCGCCTTGTCCTAACTCGGCGAGCTGGCTGGGTTTGGTCATCTGTCATACCTGTCAGGGATAAAGTGAAAGAACATGATGTCACTGTTACTTTTGAACAGGGTGCAGGAAGATTTCAAAATGTAACCGTGCAACCTCGCTACGATCTGTGCCACATCAGTTGTGTCTGAATCACAAACGCTTCTGTTTTTCAACAGGTCAAAGAGGACCAAGAGAGGACTGAGGAAATAGATGCTGATGTGCTGAGTGACAAGTATTATCATCCGCCCTGTCATGCAGCCACTGCCTCAAACCAAGCCCAGGCTTTACGGCCACACCCAAGTCACACTTATCTTCTTACGGTTGCCTTGAGCACAGCTTGGGTCTCTCGCTCTACTTTTTCAGGATAATGGGGATTTAAAAGTGTAAATAAACAGTCTCACTTTGCTCTTCCATAGTGTGCATGAGTTGCTTTGTTGGCAATGAAAAAAAGTCACGTAAGACCCGATGACAGAAAGCTTAAAGCAAAGACATCCTCTTACTGAAAGACAGGCTCTAACATGACTGGAGCTGACATGATGCTTTTTGAGCTGACGCCCAGACATCCACCCAAAGTTCACCTATGAACACACCCACACTAAATTGAAAAAGAATGAATAATTTCCATTATGCATATTGCAGGTGGGAAAATCCTTCTTGTCTTGTAACTTCTCAAGTGTGTCACCAAGTCTCATATGAGAAAAACTGCAGTTTCTCAGCAAACAGGCAGATACAAGCCCAGTTATTTAGTCTGAAAATACTCAAAATATGCACAAGAAAGAACAAAAACGCTGAAATGAGACACTGAGAATGTCTTTGTGATGGCCATGTGGTTTATAACTGGTCACAGGAGCAAAGAAAATGCACGTCATGTTTTTAACTGCTTCTCCTCAGCAAAGCAACAATGGTTTGTCATGTTGTTACTGATAACAAAAAACAAGCTCTCAACCCACCAAACAGTCTGGTGTCTCAGTCTTCCCACAAACCTCTGGGGATTCAAAGGGTGAAAAGAAAAAAAACGCCTGATTTACTCAGTGACCAAAAGAGCCTTGTTGAGACCTGCCTGATCCAGGATCAGCAGAAAACAAAGGCACAGTAAGAAAGACAAATATTATTACTCATTCACAACAGTAAATTCTGAATATTGCATTAGCTTCAGAGTGATTCACGGTTTTGAAAATCATGCATAGATTTATCACGTATTTTAAAGGTCGCTGGAAAATTAACAAAGAACAAAACTCGCAATATTTTTTGCATGTTTTATTTATTCTGAGTGAAAGACAAGCCTCCTACTTATGCGCCTCACAAACACACACACACATTTCTCAAAAATATACATTCTAAGCAAATACTGACATTGATCAAATGAACCTCAATACAGCCATTTCCCAAGCAGAAAGACAGCCCCCTGCCTTGTACCCTGTGGCCCTGGGAAAGCCCCATAGCTGCCTGCCACCGTGCTTCATGGCAGGTATGTTTTATGACGTGGAATGGTGGTTTTTCCAAAAGCATTTCAGTTTTACAAAAATTTAAAATCTGTGTTCAATAAACAGGCAGTTCGGTTATGACGGCAGATATCCTGCAAATAACCTCTTTGTAAGCTGCTTTAATAAAAACAACTATTAAACATGACACACTTGTAAAAGCAGCTCCTCTTCCCTCGACTGGTGCGCACAGTTCGTAATTCATTAAAATGCTGGTTAGAAGGCACGACCCCTTCATTGTCTCCACAACATTTATCTGAATTTGGTCAAAGAACACTCAGAGTCAGCCAGCAAATTAACTGCTGACAGTGCTGACTGATAATTTACTGCTGGTTCAAATTTCTACACATAGTTCATGAGTGAGGCAAAGTGATGGGTGCTAGATGCTGTGTGCTACATCCCAGTCTTTCCATGTCCCTGTTCCCCACAAGAAAACAAAGCAATACTTAAAAAAGAAATATATATAGCATTAAAAAAAAGTGAATATTGACAAGCACTCAGTACTAAGATAGAGTCCAAAACTGAATACACGGCTAATAGCTGCTTGAAAAGTTAGATAACCTTTGTCCTGTATATAATGAAGCTACTGCCAGCAGTCAGTTAGCTTAGTTTAGCACAAACCCTGGAAACAAGAGAAGGTAATTTACCTCCACTGTCAACAATTCTGTTTTATGTGGTTTAATGAATAATGAAGACACGGAGTTATTCTCTGAGCTTGTTTTCAGTCTACATGCTAGGCTAACGAGCTGCCAGTTGTAGCTTCTATTTCATGTACAAACAAAAGCATGATATTAATGTCAAAGAAAGCAAGTAAACACATTTAAATGTTGAACTAGTGCTTGACTCTTTAGGGTGACAGAATGTTGATAAAAAATAAAAGTGCATTTGTACATTAAAAATAGCGCTTCTTTGCTAACCTTGAAAATCAAAGTACTGCTAAAGTGAATCTTTGCTTGGACCTTTTTTATGTATTCTTAGTGCATTCAACATGAGACTCCATTACCTTCACTAAAGGAAATCAAGAAATGGGGCTGTGGTGGGGATATATTATTATTCTTTTAAAAGAAACAACCTTCTTTGAATCATATTTCTCAACATACTGCAATTATACCACAAATACAGTCATATTTGTTTCTTTGATTTTTGTCAGAAAGCTTTCATATTTGGCTGCTCAGATCTCTCTCTGCATATAACTTTTAGTTATGTAGTCGTAGTTGTGCAGACACGTTTGACAGTGATGGGAATCAAGTAACATTCTGCTGCAGGTAACACTGTCAATCCACGCTGCCTGGTGTACGGTGGCTGCCTGGTGTACGGTGGCTGCCTGGTGTACGGGGGCTGCCTGGTGTACGGGGGCTGCCTGGTGTACGGGGGCTGCCTGGTGTACGGGGACAGCAACCTAAAACAAGCCAGTTTCAGCACACACTACACACACGTCTTAAAGCACTCTCAGCCTACCTACGTAGATACAGGCAAACATTTCCAAACACACAGACCACAGGATTAACTGTAAAATTAAAAGCACTCTTTCCTTTATAATATGTACAAAGCATCAATCAATGAACAGCAATTGTCAGGCTCTATCCAGATGGTATTAATAAAAAGCATCATTTTTCTCTCTTTTTTTGTTGTCTTCGTTGGAAGGGTGTGGCAACAGCAGTGTCTGAACACGTCGGTTTCTATCTGCAAGCACGGGCACAAGCACACGGGAAATGAAAAGAAAGAAAAGCGAGTGGCAAAGAGAAAAAAAGACATCTTCAGATTTCATGTTGCTTTGATCCCAACTGGTCTGAAAATGTGAGCAAATACAGCCACTCAAACTGGAATCGTACCTTTTACGGTTACTGCTGCCGATCCCGCCCGATCACTGTCCTTCGAGCTGCGAGACCACGTGGGTTATGTTGTCGTTGATGAAGGCTGATTTGGTCAACCCCATCTGTGGGTTCAATAGATTCCATCAGTTAAAGATGTTGCAGAGATGCACTAGTCCGCAAACACGCGTGGTGTTTGCAACGCACCCCTGCAATAATTGTGAAGCCCTCTGAACTTAGGGCGGCGAGGGGAAAAATGTTTTCTACTCATCTGTCACATTTTTTTCTTTACTAGTGACGCATTAATCTGACAGAAATAGTGCAGATAGTGTTAATAAGGTGAACATAGCTGCATGAATCTAAAGAAAATGTCTGATATTCCTTCGATCCTCCACCTCAGGCTTTTATTGTGGGGGCGACAGCCCCAATTTTCCACGGATTACTCCTCCCGTATGAAACCGTGAGCACTGAAAACAAGTCTACCAGGATTCCAGTCTAATGTTTCTTTATTCACTGATGTTTTGGGTGTGGCAGAAGGGAAGGGAAAGTGAAGAGTCTGAGGAGTCATGATAAACACCCATCCATTTGTCCACCAATAAAGCTGGGCCCTCCCAGCAAGGAAGTTTGAGCATGAACTAGCATGAAATGTAAAGACAATAAGCACATCACTGAAACGTCACCTCAGCTGTACCATTAGGCCATTTCTCCCTTTTCTAATTTACCTTTTTCACAGAGCTTTGCAAATTCTTGTCTTGCCATATGCTGTACAGCAGCAGCGAGGCTGCGCTGCTTCCCTTGGTAAGTTTCCTAAAAAGAAAAGAAGCCATCATCGGTCATAGAAACACGCTGAAGCTTGCCACCTCTGCAAATGATATTTAAAAAAAACACTCACTTGTCTTCACTGAGGTCAAATAGCGACCGAATAACGGCATTATTGATGACCTTCTTGCTGGTGTCACTGTTTGCTGACATCAGTCTTAGCACTGTGTTGCAAGCTGCTGCTACAGACTCGTCAGAATTTCCCAACTGACTGGGCCCACCCTGCAGGAGTTCTCCGAGCTGAGGCAAGATCTGCTTTGCTAAAAGAAAACAGCAAATCAATTGTATGTGGACTAAACTTGCATATCTGAAAACTGGATAGTCAAAGTCTTTTGTGCGCTACCATTATCCTCCTTCTTACCCATGGTGCCTTGCAAACTGTCGGTCCGAGACATGTTACCCAACAAGGACAAGGCAGTGTTCTGAAGCTTCGGGTTAGAGGGCTTCAGCAGAGGTCCAAATTGACTCAGATCTCTGGACTTACTAACCAAAATTTGGCTCACAGCATCTGACCCCTGGAATGGTTACAAAGAGGAATTTATTTAATTTTTGTGTTTATTTAACACAGGGGAAAAAACATCAACAACACCCACAATGCAATTAAGGAAAAGGCAATTTGCTGAAAACTTTCTTAACCTCCACATATGTGGACGTCACATTTTGGGTTATTTAGACCAAAATGCTCAATTTTGCTCTACAAGGGCCTGATATCCACTTACGAGGACATTATGCTGCTGCTGTTCTATCGAAATTTTAAATGAATATCCTCATATGTGGCTCTGATTTTTCTTAGAAACAAAAATTAGGTAAAAAAAAAAAAAAAAAATCAGGTAATCCTTTGTTTTTACATTCATCAGGTCCCAATCAGCCCAAATATCAAAGGGAAATTAAAAATGCTGCCGTGGAAGAGTTCGGGTCTAAGGAGGTTAGAGATATGAGATTTATGTCAAAGAACAGGCTCTTCTCTTCACTTCAAAATGTTTAGTAGTGTCTGTAACCATGTGCCATTTTCACACATGAACTCTAGACAGTGTTGGGAGAATCAGCTTGGGACACTGGCCTCAGCTGCTCTTTGCCTCTGAAGGAAACATCCTGTTTGGTTAAGGCCAGTGTGGAGGAGGCTGGATCGCCACTCACTGTGAACTCTCCAGACATATTCCCACACTGATACGTTATACTGAATCTGCAGTAAGGAGCTGGCAGAGGAGAGTTTAAGAACAGCTTCAGCTGGTTTAAACACTGCTGTCACCAGTTAATCGTGACTAATAACTGGAATATAGCTTTCTTCACTTCTAACACAACAAAACCACACATCGCTGTATATGGGAGAATAACTGCAAGAGGTTGAACAAGATTCACCTTTAAACTGTGAAGCAGAAAAGAAAATGATAAGACGGTTTAGAGCTCTGCACAGGACAAAGGGGAAAAACAGATCCTTACAACTGCTGCCTGAAGAGGCTTGAAAACACTTTTCAAAAGAGTTAAAGAATTATATCGATTGGAGTATGAATGTCACACAGGGCAACTTGCCATTTGTTGCATGTACAGTTTCTTTTAAAAGGATCAGAGAAACATGCATGTATATATGTATAAATATGCTCAATAGCTCATTACATTATGTTGTGACTTACACGGTTAACCAACGTGTAGATGTTTCGTGTTGTAAAACAAGTGAAATTCATCTACAAACCTGAAATACAAAGACAACTCCACCCTTTCTCACAAAACTTTCACATCTTTCCTCTTTCATAAATCAACCTGAGCTAATCCAGTTACAGAGTAACACCATAATCCTAATAATTAACTTCTTCGTACTCACGCTTCCCTTGCTGGCAGTGAGGTTCTGCAGAGCACCACAGCAGGCCTCTAGAGTGGCTTTGTTCTCGGACGATTCCAGGAGGGACAGGTAGGTGTCTATAGCTTTGGGATGGGACAACCACTTAACACCTGATGGGGGGCTAGCATCCACAGTATCAAAGGAGAACTGAGAGAAGCAGAGAAGGCAAGTTTAAATGAAAGACTCCAGCAAACAAAATAGTCTACAGGCATTGTGCTTAATGCCCACCGTCTTTTGGGCCTTGCTGCTCTTAGGGCTGAAGCATCCAATTGTGGGGCTTTTCTCGTGTTGGGCATCTCTACTTGGGTTGTAGTTTATGAAACTCATGGGGGACTCTTGCTCCAGTTTGTAGGACAAGTTATGGAGGATGCATGCACAGTTCTCCAAGGACTAAAGAACAGGAGAGAGTTCACATTAAAGGTTTTATTTTCATACTTTTGTCTGTTATGACTCATAAACAGCATAGCAGACCTATCTGATGATGAACTGGACAACGGTTTTAGTGTCAGACACTAGAAAGACAGTCAGTCTGCTGACAACATATTTAGACTGCAGTAGAAAAAAATAGCTAATAACAGTCATCAATTCATACTTAATAGTAAATATAAAAGTGCTTTTTGTTTGCATGTTTCACAAAAAACACTACATACCTGTGTTTATATACTATTATGAGATCACTGTTTTACAACTGGATCAAATGGGAAGCTCTATTCAAGGTAACGCTATGTTTCTCTATGTTCTTTGTGCGATGAGATAATCTCTGCCTGCACTTTCACTAATTATGCTTTAGTTCATGAAATGAAGTCTGTGTAAACTCTGCATTAACATAAACATAGAATTAAGGACACACCCACCCCTGAAACGTCCACAAATTACAGGTACGCACAGATTCATAATAAGCATGTAATTTAGTGAGCATATGTACATTCACACGGGTATGCTTTTAAAAAACAAACATAAAGACACATTTGGAATCTGGTCCGACTACATTCTGTAGGAGACGCAAGATAAATGTTGTACAACTTTGACTACTCAAGGATTCGTCACAAGATATGATTCCAAAAACAGAAAACTGCTCACTCACGCACAATTTAAACACACAAACTGGTGTGAACCAGAAAAACAATAAAGCCACAAAGACAAAGAAGGGCCCAATGATTATGAGGCTGGTGATGCCACTGATGCCGCTGAGATCGTGGACTCTTATAAGCACCTAGGTGTTCACCTCAACAATAAACTGGACAACAAATACAGACGTCCTGTATAAGAGGGGCCAGAGTCGACTCCACCTGCTGAGGAGACTGAGGTCCTTCGGAGTCTGCAGGACTCTGTTATTTAGTCTGCAGGACTCTGTTAAGGACATTCTATGACACTGTGGTAGCATCTGCCCTTTTCTATGCAGTGGCCTGCTGGGGGAGTGGATGCACGGACAGGAGCAGGATTGACAAACTGGTGCGGAGGTCTAGCTCCGTGCTGGGATGTCCCCTGGAGTCTGTGGAGGTGGTTGGCGAGAGGAGGATGTTAGTAAAGCTGACATCCATCATGAACAACCCACATCACCCACTGCATGAGTCTGTGAGTGGGCTGAGCAGCTCCTTTAGCCAGAGACTGAAACACCCTCGCTGCAGGAAGGAGCGCTTTCGCAGATCATTCATCCCAACAGCAGTTAGACTATAACTCCTCAATCACGATGTCATGAGTCACTGGACACTGTGAACATCCACGGTCACCACTTCATGCATAATGGACCTTCCATGTGTATGGACGTGTGCAGGTATATATGTATACATATGTATATTTAGTGTGTACATGTGTGTGTGTCTATAAATAGGAATAGTAGTGGTACAATAGTTATGTCAAGCTATATAGTTTATGTCTTGCATATTTCCAACCATGTCCATAACCACATACTGTGTGTGCTGTATGTAGTGTATTATCTTACTTTTTTTCATTGATTGCACTTATTTGTATTTTTGTATTTTCTTCTGATATCTGTACCTGAGCTGAGGTGATGCACAAATTTCCCTGTTGTGGGATCAATAAAGTCTTATCTTATCTCTTATCTTCAATACCGATTAGCTCTACAAGCAGAGCTGAAAGACAGTTTACAATGACAAAAACAATATAATCAATATATCAACAAAGACTAATAACCAATTTGCTAAATTATCATTAATCGGTTACAGGTTAACTTTCTGTCACTGACGTCTCTGAAAAATCAATTAGCTGTTTCAGCTCTACTGATTTTACTGATGCGATGACGACAGCAGACAAAACAAACTCTCCATTCTGGCCACACGGCCCGATTGTGTACTGTTATATGGGAATCATTAGACTACCAGTGAAAAAGTTATGAATACTTGTAACTGATGGGAAAAGGTTGAATTGTTGGTGATAAAAGAGTTAACTGTGTGTTTAAGTGGTTACCGAGTCATCGGGGTTTTGCTCTGCCACACAGGACTTCATGTAACTCATGAGGGAGTCGATAAGGCCAGGACAGCTTCTCATTGCCTGCCTCTGTCCACCCCGACCAGAGCTCAAGTTCCTGCAACCACCATGAAATCATCATTGCAGCGTGTACATACATATAAATATACATACGTGATCCCTTAAATTAAGTGAAAACAGATGGTATAACATATATAAATCCCTTTTATAGCCACTGTATAAAAGATATTAACTGACTGATCGCTGTCATTACAAATCCTTGACAAAGACTTATTCTTACCGCAGGCACCCTGTGGCAGAGCTGAAGACAGAGGGGTCAATGTAGCTACTCGGACCGGTGTCTGACAAGCTTGTGTAGGGCACCACCACACATTGAGTCAGGGCGGGCAGTGCTGTAGCTGCAAGCTCTTCCTTCAGCTCGTTGGCAGAGGACAGGTTCCACAGCAGGCCTATAATATGGCAACCAAAGGAGAATACATGCAACGGGGGTTTAGTTTTGTTTAAAGCCAGACAGTCCATTTGTTTTTCTGGGCATTTCATCCATCATCAAATTGGTTCGCTCTATTTCACTTCTTTTTTTTTTGCATTTGTCTGTATTATTACTGGAATCACTACTACCTCATTTCTGTTTCTATATGATATGTCAGTGTCTTCTATCTCAGTCAAAGTTCCTACCGGTAATTTGTTTCTGGGCCTCAGTAGAATCTGTTTCCTTTAGCAGCTGAAGGGCCTTCGCTATACCACCACAGCGCTGAACCTCCAGTTTGTTATTTTGGTTCTTGAACACCAGGTTCCTCAGAGCTCCAGCAGCAACCTGGCACACCTGAGGATTGCTGCTTCTCAGCAGGGCCACCAGAGTAGGAATGCCCCCGAGTTGGAAAACCTGCAACACAGAAATACAAAGCGGAGAGGTGGAGAGAATTTTTTGATGTGATATGAAAGCAAAAGCAGTTACAAGCTCATTACTTATTAATTAGTAGTATGCAAATCATGCATTAGCATTGCTTATAGTCACCTATTTTCAGAAACTAATAGATGCTCGTGCATTTTTATTTAAAGTGCATCACACGTGTGCATAAGCTTTGCGTATGGGAACATGAGAGGATCATATTTTTTTAAGTAAATAAAGTACCAGGATGTTCTCTCTAATAACTTCTGGCCTGATGATGCAAACCAATAAAAACTGAAGTGAATTGTTTTCTTAAAAAGCCTCATTACTCTCAAAACCAACTAAAACTAAACTGAATTAAAAACAGAAAGTCAAGATATAATAAAAATAATAGCTAATTAGAAATTAAAATAATTAATTAAATTACTTTTTTAATTTAATTAATTAAATAATTAAAAATACAAAACTATAATAACTCTGTACTATACAGAGTGCGTGTTTCTCTTCACAATAAGCATGTACAGTAATCTTCTGTGTGCCTGCTCGGACCTCTGATTTGGCAGACTCGTCGGTGTAGGTGGTGTGTTGGATGAAAGTTGCTCCCCACTGCTGGTAACTTTCCTCACTGCTATCCAAAAACTCTACAGCCTCCTTTAGGGTCAGGTCTGGATTGTTCATCCTGGAGAAACACACCCAGGAATGTAGGCAAGGGTAGGAAATTAGAAAAGAAATACGCTCTTCTGAGTTTAGTAAACAGTCTGGATTTAATTTCAAGTTTTAAAATATATAATAAGCTACATTTTAATGCCGGAATAAAGGTGACCTTACATTGATTTACTCTCCATTTTGATGGTACCCATCTTGCCCTCATGTTGAGACTGGGTGGAGGGCATCCGGACTATGCGCGACTGGCTGCTGGTGATCGCATTACCGTTAGTCACTGACGAAACACTGTGTCTGTTTGTTCGAGTTTGAAAGGTGCTTTGGCCCTGTGCCATCTGTCCTTTTATTCTCTAGAAAGCAACAAAAAATAGTTTAGAACATTTTGTTGGTACTTCTATGTGAACTACGCAGAACAGAAAAAATGTAAAACACAAAATGATCACCATGCCAGGTCCAGTGGCAGGAGAAAAAGGTGGGGCCAAGGCAGGGTCACTCTTACTGGGTTTTATCCCATTGGGAGCCTTTGGCCAGGTGGAGGCACTGATATTCTCTTCCCAAACACCGGAGGTGCTCATATATCTTCCTCCAGAATTTCTAGTGGATAGAGTACGACTCGTCTGCATTGTCAAAAGAGAGAGATTTACTTACTGTCCAAGCAACATTTGCATCGTTGGTTTTCCAAAAGTACAGAGATACAAATGACACATTGCAAAACTCCACAACATCTTAACTTCAAGGCTTCTCTGTAAGGTAAGTAACCTGGTTTCCCACAAGAACAGTTTTCAAAGATCCCTGGAAACCCAAAACAGGAAAATTTCAACTGACACAAAGCCTGCGTGCCACTTCCTATCCTCCCTTTTCTCGGTTTACACTCAGGAAACCTGTAGAATAAAGCAAACGACCATACGTGCTAATGTAACAAAATATCCGTCATTTGAGACTAACCCAAGCCATTTCTGTTCTAAGACTGATGATACATTGGAGCAAACAGAGGAGCTTTGTGTGCACAAGTGAGACTGAGCACCTGCTAAACCTGTATTCACGATCTTGATGTAATTGCCAGCTTAATCTCATAATTGTGCATCATTTAAGAGTGCAAAATTAAAAGGATAATAAATGAAATCTACGAAGTGTGTGCATGGGCACGACAGTGTGTGCGTTTGTTCACATGTAAAACACACTTGACGAGCTTTCCCATAAAGTAAGGACCCAACATGTCTCACTAATGCTTCACTGATTAGTCATCCACCAAATTAAATGCTCGTCTCCTATTGGCTTGAAAAAAAATACAGAAAGGAGGAAATGAAAAACCTCGCCTTTACACGACCACAAAACCAAACAGCCTCAGCTCACTCTTTTCAATCGCAGAGTTTATTATGAAGGAGGACCTGCTACAGGTGGAGCAGGCGCTCCGGGTACACACATGAGTTTTCTTATTGGTCTTTAGCTCGTTCCTGTTCCTAACTGGACTGGTTGCTGAGTTACCATCCATACGTCAGCCATGATAGCAGGCAGTAAAAACATGGTGAAAGAAAGATATGTCAACAGTACACTTGATAAGAGAAGATGGTGTGTTTATTCTCACAGTGCTCCCTTCATGCAGCTACAGCCTGAGTGAGCCGCGAGAACCTTTCATACACAGGACAATGTGGACAAATGCAAACTCAGCACGTCCAGAATACAGAGACAAACAGTACAATGCTTCTATTCTGGCACTAGACTAATAAAAAATGGCTTTATTGTTTTCTGTTACGAGGAGAGATTATACCTGGGATTAACACAGATTTACTGTATGTGGTGTTGCCAGAAAGAAGCCGTATCAAACAGCACAGGTATCATTATTATAGTCGAGTGGTGCAGAGTTATAACAGGTTAGCCAACTTATCTGGAAAAAAACAGCAAAGAAATTGGAAAAAAAAGGGTAAATGGGCTGCTTCTTATGTAGGACTTTTCTACTCGCAAAGCGCTTTATATAACACACCTCCTTCACCCATTCATACAAGGACTTTATTCTACACCTATCTAAAACTTACACACTTTCATACTCCGATGAACACATCAGAGAGCAACTTTGGGTTCACCATACTGCCAAACAACACTGAACCCCACGCAGACTAAAAAGTGGAGCAGCCAGGCATCGAACCTGCGTCCTTAAAATGAGCAGATTGAGCTCCTAAGCGGCTACAACCACCAACAGAACTGTAAAAGCTCAGTTCAAGTCCCATCAAACTGAGACCGAGGTGGCTCCCGAGATACAGAAAAAAAGTTGTTATCTGCATCAAAGACATTAACGGTATATCTTTGTGGCCTGTCCGTCCACTGCGTGCAAGGTTGCAACTTAATGGGCACGACTGTTTCGTGATAATATGGTAATCCATAGATGACAAATTCAGCTAATAAAAATGTGAGAACTGCACAAACACAAAAACTGTGAGTAATTCAGTTTGTTATACTTTCTTCTGGGTTTTCTTTTTATAAAGACATAAATAGTTGTGTTCGTAAGCCGTCTCATTCAAGCAGTGCTTGTAAATGCTGCACTAGACAACACGTTGTATTCCAACTGCTGGATACAATTTCTTCACTAAGTAACTTTGTGTTATTTTTGTTCTGTGGATTATTTGGAAACGACCTTGCGACATAAGTGTTTCATGATGTGATGATTATGAGTCTTCATCAGCAAGAGCACATCACCACACTCTCGCCGCATTCCTCAACTCACTGTCAGATCAAATCAGGACAACACGCAGCAAACAAATATTAACACACACACACACACACACACCAAGAACGATGAGCATTACACTTAGCTATGGAATTTCAAATACTTCGGTATTGTAAATGAGTTGTTTCACCCCGACTGCTCCTGGCAAGACTCACAGAACGACATTCAAAAACAACAGATTCACAGCAGCGCTGTGCTGCGCAAAAATACACCCCGGTTTGTGAGAAGAAAAACGAACGAGCAGAAAACGTGCATACTTTTTTCAGGGTCCTTTCCTAAAACAATGTCGTAAATCACCAGTGACTGAGCGCGCCCTCCTGTTTGGTGTCAACACTAACATATGGACTAATAGGCATCCTCCTTGAATTTAAGATTGCATCCAATTGCTCCATCAACCCTAAATTTCTCACAGTTGAGTTTCAAAACATAAACCCCCTCATTTTGAAGGGTGGGGCACAGAAATGCTACACACACAAATACACCCCGATTTGTAAACGCACACATTGGAAATGGGCAGACATTTGTGGAAGCATCTATTTTGTTTTTTGCTTTTCTTGTCGAGAATTACAAGATAACCAAAAACAATCTTGCATATATCTGTTTAAAGAAGCTGGAAACCAAAAGGCATTTAGTTCAGCAAGAATTCAGCAGTGTCTTTAACATGATGCAGATTTAGTCATATTATTGGCTCTGATAAGCATGAGCAAAGATCTCTAGTGAAAGAGACACACGTTTTACAGGAAGAGCATCTGGTTTAAAAAAATTAAATAAAATCAGCTCTCAATCAAATATGCAGATCCATCTGTTGTGGCAGCCACCTTGCTAACAGGGAAGCAGCCAAATTAATTTGTTTCTGTGTGAACATAATGAGCAAAAATAAACATGTTGAGCATAAGCAGTCTGTTGCTGGGAAAATGTTTGTGCGCTGCTGTAATTACCTCCTTCGTGGTGCCAGCAGACATAGTGGATTTGCTGCGGAAGGTGCCATTTGCTTTGGATGGAGAATATCTGAACGAGGCGAAATCTGTTTGTTTTGTGAAAGACGGCAGAGGTGGACCTGTTTAAAAAAAGAAAGATATGAGACACACACACACTTTTACAAAATAATAATAATAATTTGTATGTATGTATAATGACAAAAAGCAGAAACTTGAACCCCCCCCCACACACACATTCACTGAGTGTCACACGGAGGCTACAGGTGAACACGTCCTTTTAGATAACAGCAAACAACAACTGAAGGTAATTAAGATCCTAGAAGTAACTCAAACATTACAAAGCAGCTGCACACTGAAGAAGGCAACCTGATAGCCGGAGGTGCGTCCGCAACTCCGGCTTTGATTTCTCCCCATTTACAATCGAGTGTTTGTTAAAGGGTAAAATCTTCCTACAGCGCAGTTTCAACCCATTTTCAGAAGAAATTCTTACGTCAACAATCGTCGTTACGCCATTCTCACGCCTGCTGGAACCTGCTAGTGTCACCCAGCAGGTCTTTCTTTTCTTTTCTTTTCTTTTCTTTAAACAAAACTGTCACTTTGATACCAAAAAGCCTCGAAACATATTTGAACCACCTACAACTTAAATGCGCCTGTGAAGTTATACAAAAATAAGGAAAGAAATAAAAAGGAAAGGATAACGTGGCACATTAAAAAAAAGCACGTCGAGCCCGTTAAGCGGTGCTACTTCAATGGAAGTTGTGTGACGCATCTTACCCAGGTAACACAACGCTCAGTTTACGAGCCCCACAGACACGTTGGGTTTTGTTTTTTTGTTTCATTATAGTTGTACAAACTTATTTCCATACTTGTAGGAGAAGGAGCTCTGACACTCTTGCCGTGTTTGGACTTGCTCCTCTTAATGCTGTGGACCTGGTCCAGCACGCGCTGCTGTCCCGACCGCAACTTGTTGTCGGAGGGCAGCGCGAGCGAAGTATCCTCCGCGACCCCGATGGCTGTCGCTGATCGCAGCGGCTCCGGAGCCATCATCTTCCCAACTCGGCGCCCCTCTTGTGAACGGATCGACAGAACAGGCTTCCAGAGAAGCGCAGGCCCGGAGGGAAAAGAAAAAGTGCACCGACAGCTGTAACGGCCGCGCTAAGTATGCAGATTGGTTGTAGTTGTTCTCGGAGCAGTGGCGGTATAACTCCACCCTGGGAACCGCGCCCGGTCGGGAGAGTTCACAGAAAGGTGTGGTGTGCAAGGAGGAGCCGAGAAAGGCAGGAGTTCCACTGCGCAGTACTCGGTATACGTGCAGGGGGGGAGCGCTAATGTTGCTCTTCTTAAAATTGAAAATAGAGAATTAAAAACCAAACAAACAACCGTACAGGAGCATGTTCAGCCTGTTTAGCGTTGCAACTGCCACTCGAGGAAATGTTGTCTGTCTTGCATCGTGTCAAGGAACTATGATAAACCCTGTTGGAAAAAGAAATGCTTAGAACCAGGCTGAGTCTCCACCAGCACGAAAACATTAGTGTTTCATCCTGAAACGTTTTTCATTTTTCTCCATGTCTGATGACAGCAAACCTCCTCCAAGACAGCAACGTCGCTTTTAAACGTACTTCAACATGTTTTTAGTTCAATAAAAAAAAAGTGCAGAATTTTGTTGCCCTGTTAAAGGCTTTTTAAATACACTTGACATCATTTTGAGTATTATTTAATTTCATTGTGTAGCATAATTCGTTTAAATGTTTAGTAACTATCAGGTTTAAACAGTTTTTATTAAGTAGTTTTCTCTCTCTCACTCTCACACTCTCTCTCACACACTCACACACTCTCTCTCACACACACACACAGGTCAGAGGTCAAATGTGCCATTATTTTATATCTTTAAATGGTAGTTTGTATGCTAAAAATCCAAACCACACAGTCACAGTTTCTAAGTTATAAGGCTTTTTGTAAGTTTTCGATCAATAAATCAAGCTGACCAGGATATAAGCCAAATTTCAGCAGATGGTTAACACGACATCCCCATGAAGTTTTATCAGAAAGTAATAATCAGACTCAGCATACTAAAACTTGAGATTGACGTGCATGCATGCAAACAGTACTGAAAACATAACCTCTTCGGTGGAGGCAAAAATGAAATATTCCTGTTTCGAAGTTCAAATCAAACGGATTGCAAATATTACAGCTGTCATACATTTGGATGCACTGCATTTCAGATGAAAACCCTCTTTACTGGACTATATCTGATAGTTATAGCTATTCTCAGATTAACAGGCTTTTCTGCATACAAAACATGATAGAATCGTAACAAACACAAACCTTTTCGAGTCCACACATGTAATTGTAAATCTTAACACATTTTGTGCAATTTATGCAATAAATTATCAATTATCTGAAAAGGGCATTGCTTTGTGTAGTCACATGCAGGGCCTTTTCTTCTTTAATAGCTTTTCATGTGGTAGTGCAGATGTTAGTAATAATAATAATAATAATAAGTGTTGGTCAGTGATAATGAGGAGCATATGAATAAATAAACAAACAGGGTGGTGTTGTGGGGCTAAACTTTGATTTTTTTCAGTAATAATGTTTTATTTAATTGCACCATTTAAAAAAAAAACACTGCAAAAATAATTGGGAAAGGATAAGAAGGAAGAGTCAATAAAGAGATACCCAGAAGCAAACTTCTAAGATAATGGAAAAACTACAGGGAGTGGGGGGTGGGGGAGTAATAATATGAGCACATGCTCGCTGCATAACCGGATTGTTATGGCGAAGTTTCTGCAGGTAACATTTTCCCACCACGCCCTTCAGTTGTACAGTGCAATTGCAGTAAATTCTTGCAGTGTGTGTCATGTGCTCGTATTGAATGAATGTGAATGTATTCATGAGGAAAACGGTAACCCACTAAAATAAGCTTCCAAAGTATTTGAGCCAAGAAAAAAGTGGGAGGGACATTAGTTGAAGTTTTATTTGATAACCTGATCAGGTAAAACTACCATTTGAAAAAAAAACTGACACCAGGATGTTTTTTAAAGTGCCGGGGAGTTCTGCGTGAAACCAAAGCCCCCCCACTGCTCGTCCATAAACGAGCAATTAAGAGTCTTCACTGCAAATATAAAATGACCCCTTGTTAACCAAGACTGTTTTGCTAGATGACAATCTTAGTTGTCAGGGCCACACCCAGGCTTTGCTTATGCTGTCACTGGTGGGGTGGTTGTCATGGCGACAGGTGAGCTGAGTAATGTCTGGGAGAAAAAACTCAGAAGTGTGTTAGAGACAAGTTGTTCATTACCATGACAAACTTACAGTAACATCCGACTTTGCCACATTTGTCCACCTAGGACAGCATTTACGCGTGTGCGGCATTCACTGCATTTTATTATTATCATCAATTATAACAAGAATTGTTTTTGTGTTTTTACTCAAGACACCAATCCCAGAAAAAAAAAAAGAGCACAAAGTAAGCAGTGTTCACCGTCTATTTATAGTCTGGCTACAGACAGAAAGTGTGTGAAGTTAAAGCTCTATAAACTTACTCATCACTTTCCTATATACACCTTGGAAGGCTGCCAAAGCACATACAGACAGGTGACTGCACTGAACGTCTGCCGTGAGCAATCTGGCGGCCGTGTCCCAGTGCATTGTGGTTCCACTTGTGTCCTTATTGCACCATTACCGTAAGTCCACACAAAGCTTATCAATTGTTAGAAATTCAGCAGTGATAAGGGTGCTTGTTATCAGCACCCATGTGGCACACGGATAGCTTGATATGTACAAGACAGATGGGATTCGTCTCCTTCGCAGCCACGAGACTTCAGGCCGACTGAACCTCTGTGAGACATTTTGCACCAACGTGTTAAACAGTTCTATGAAACTCTTACTGCAGCAAGCGGCGGTGCATCGCCTTACTGAGGTTTACCATGTTAGCTTTCATTTGTCTGTACATTAGTCTGTTGGCGTGACTTGGATTAACAGACTGGACAGCCCACGCAGGAGGTGTGACTGAATTTCAAATTGACAGCTATACACGTGACTTCAGGTCAGCTCTGGTATTTGAAGACGTGATTTGTCTTATAGATAATGACCCCCCCTCATGTTAGTGTTAACTGACAAACTGCAGTAATTAAGACCAGACAATTACACACATCTGCACTTTTGAGCCATGATTATCTGAGACAGCAGTGCTTTGCAATATTTAGGCAATATGACTGCAGCACAGAGGGGTTACGTAAACGTAATTCCAGTGTTATAAGATAAGATAACCTTTATTAGTCCCACACGTGGGAAATTTGTTTTGTCACAGCAGGAAGTGGGCAGTGCAAAAGTTATGAGGCAATTATTAGTTATGCAACTATGTGGGAGTGTTGGTTGCAAGTGTAAGTGAAAAAGTTGTGGGACAAAACTGATATGCAAGTGCGTTGTAAAAGCCTGCTATACTTTGGATGCTGTTTAAACATTTGAGCAAAGGGCGCCATCTAGTAGGGCAAACGACACACTGCAATCTCTGTGTCAACGCTGTCATGAGCATAGAAGCGACTCAAACTGTGCCTAGTTGTTAAAACACCAGGGACACTGAGGGATATACGAGTGCCTTTCATATAGCAGCCATGCTCTGCATCTGTGAAACTAAGTCAGGCTTTGTCAGCCTGCATGGAAAGGAGGACAAAAAACAAAACAACCCCCAAAAACACACAAACAGCCCCCGTACTCTCAGACAAACCTTGTAGTATTGCTTATGCTCATATTTCCTTATTTTTGAAAGAAAAAAAGTGTCTTATTAATTCCTACACTACATTTAACAAATGTTTTATGTACCAACAGTGAAAAGCTCCATTTTAATTTAAATTAGGTGCGACCACTTAATTAGGTACACCTGTTCAACTGACTGTTTACCCAGATTACAATTCAGCCAATTAACTGGCAGGAACTCAGAGCAATTAGGCACGTGGACATGATCAACCAGAATATCTAAATTAGGAACAGTGGATTGAAAATGATATTTACCATTTGTTATTTCCAGACCCAGGAAGGCTCGTTTCCTCTCATCTGTCTAAACGTTATGATCAAGACACCAACGCGTAACTTTACAGGTACAGCGTATAGCCAGTTTTAATTCACTGAGCAGGCAGGAGTGACGAGGCACAGCCAAACAGTACACGCAATTATAAAAGAAAACACTTTTGGCTGACCACACAGTGAGTATTAAAATATGATCTCATGTTTTTTTAAAAAAAAGAAAATATAGAGCCAGCTAGCTCTTAGTGTCATGATAGAAAGTCAAATGACAAATTCTCTTCGGCACAGGCAAAGATAGTCCTGCACAGAGAGGCCATGGCAGTGTAATACGAAGTAAAAAACGTGAGGTTTACTAAAGAAAGAGAAAAGCCAAATGTACCAATAATCCAACACATTACATAGAATAAAAGAAAAAAGTGTCAGCTGGATAGTCGTTAGTGTTATCAGGCAAAATCTATCCCAGTGCACTGCTGGTGACCTTAATGAGGTCTGTACCATACCATTGTTTGCATATGAAAACAGATAGACCCCGAACACCCGTCCTTTAACATTTTTAGAGTAACACTTTTTTGCGTTGCTGGTGAAATACAAAAAGAAAGAAAAAAAGTTCATCTTTACAAAAATGGACTATTTACCTTAGGTTTGGCTTACAAACAGTACCGTTACAAGCGTAGTGTACGTGTCCTATACATCAGTGCTCCTCAGCTTAAGGCTTTAGAAATCAAAGCACATTCTTATCCCAACTCGCATGGAGGTAGAAGTACTGCAGCAAGCCCACACAGTCAACGTAAAAATAGTTGCACGTCCACGGACAATGGAGGTGATTCTGTCGTTAAAAATGCTGCAAAGAGCAAAACGTGAACTTAGTCTGAAACTGTCTTAATTCTTCTGTTGTTTAAAACGACAAGTGAGGCAGTCGAAAACACGTCCTCCACTGGAAAGCTTTACAAAGAGAAAGCAAATACTCCTAAAATGATCTCCCTCTTTACACTTTGACACAACATCAAATATAAATACAACATGCTCTTCTTTACATGAGGCTCACTTATACTTTATGCAGTATCCTTGGACCTTCGATTGAGCTGACTGAAGTCCACGATTTCCTACTAAACAGGTAACAGAGGCTATTCCAATGTAGACTCATTCAAACTGTACCTCGCAGAGCTACTGCAGTCTGTAAAAGTAATAGTGTTTGTGGCAGGTTACATGAACGATGAATATTTGTTTTCATAGATTATATTCAAACTCATCTCACATCAGTCACACCTGTGATGCAAATGCAAAGATCCACTTGTAGTGCGTCACACAGTTTTCCATTGTTGATCAAAGGATTGCATGTTAAACTTGATTCACTTTAAAAGGTTTTTTCAATTTCCAATTAGGAAAAAAAGGAGTATCTAATGTATATAAGACCTTTGCGTTTGCCGACTCTTTTGGTTTAAGCAGAGGGATGCTGTTATATGATCATACATCATACATGTTCCAGCAATGGGAAACCATAAACAACAGGCGTGACTACAGTGTGACGGTTGGTCTATTGAAACACGTGTGTTTAGAATAGAGGAGCAATTCTGAGTGTTCAGCTGGAAATAGTGTTTATGGTGTGAGTATCAAAAAGTCCGTGAAGAGTCTCTGCATGTACACAACATGCTGCTAGTCATTAACTAGTCGATAAACATGGTACTGCGCTCCATGTTCGCTCGTGGACACTTCAAACACAAAGGCGATGCACAGCAGAGTCTCCTGAGTTTCTCTGTTGGACACCACCTAGCAAAGACACAAATAAAGACAAGAAAGGCACTGAGGGGGGAGAAAGTACATTTGTCAAAGTGCAGCAAACCTTTTCAAATTCAGTTCATTACATTAAGAAGGTGCAAAAATGCCTTTGCGCACAGTTAGGCCTATAATTTGTTTTTGGTTGGTTTTTTTTGCCTCTGGACACCACCACAGTGGATTTCAAAATAAATAAAATCAATCAATTAATAAATATGTGACCAAACTGCAAGCTTTAATTCAAGGGGGTTTTACAGAAATTTTGGAATAACCCACTCGCACCCATTTTTATATTTCTATTTCTATATTTAGTTCAAAATGAATTGCACAAATATCTAAGATCTCACCTCATTTATGAATATTAATACTTTGATTAAAATCATTTGCAGTGAATGACTGCCTGAAGCCCAAAACTCATGCACATCACCAAATGCTGTTTACTTGCTGACATGCTGCACTAGGTTTCAGCTGCTGTTGTTTTGAGAGTCAGTGAAGTTTTTCAGTAGACTTGGAGGAGATCAGGTCAAGATATGTTATGGTTCAGATTATAAGCTGTTAATCTTGGTTCCACCCCGAGAGCCAGACTCTCTAAAGCTTTCTGGTCTAATCTGTCCTAAGCATGCAGTTAGGTCTGTCAATATTTGGCTGGTACACTCCTTTTTAACAATGTACCAGATTACTGATTTAGCCACTCCCCCCCCCAGTGCAATAAAGGCCTCTCGCACTTACACTGACATGTCTTTAGGCCTCATGTTTAAAAACACAGTGAAAACTATAAATTACAGATTAATCACTTCTAGGTCTTTAATTTACGATGTAAAAGTGTATCGAGTCATAGAAATAAAACTGAAGTGAAACTGAGCACTTTGCATGGACTCAGTGTCAAAGCATGTCTGCTTACTTTGTCATGAAAGGACCATGGCAGTCAGTTGAGGCCTGTTCCTCACCTATTTCATTATTATCATAAAGGTTGACCTCTGATCTTGAGGTCAAGGTCACTGGTGTTGAAACTCCTCTGCCATTTTTAGTAGAGACGACTATATTATGAATGTGTGAATCCTACATCACCTTGTTCTCAAGTTATCATATTCACAAGATTTTCAGCATCGAGCCCAATTTAAATCCACTATGTCGATGTAAATGTGCAAAGCTACAAAAAAGTGTACAATACAGAAAATGTACAGTTGGTTGTAACCCCCCTCGTGCCGTTTTCATGAATTCTTAAAGTTCAGTTTAACAATCGTTTTTAAATGATGCCGAAGGATATTCAACTCTACATTTTATCCACATAATAGTTTGTATGAATTATTAACCAAATCTTGCCTCACACTATGAACCAAAGCACGTTTATAAACAGTGTATGGTTTTGTATTGGTGGTCAGATTACACACACACACCTGTAGAATGGTGAAGTTCTCCAGAACACTGTTCATCATGTACTTCTCCGGCAGGTGTTTGAGTTTGTGGATGAAGTTGATCATATATTCACACATGGGTGAGCGATGGATGCGGAACATGTACTTTCCTCCTTCCAGATGTGCATATTCAGTCTGGTTAGGAGAAATCCACATGCGTTATTTGCAGTTAAAACACATGCAGGTGGGGTCTAATGTAAATATATTTGAGTATGTGTACATATATTCAACAAATAAGATCCATTATTAAAATGTGTGAATAATTTTCTCACCTCAACCTTTTCCACCACCTGTTTACCAAAGGAGCAGACCTTTGTTGAAACACTGATAGTGATGTTTTCTGTTCCGCTGTACTGGCTGCTCACGCCGTAAAAAGCGCCAGAACCTTCCTCGATGTCACTGCTCAGGTCCGCCTAAAACAAGGAGGATGAGATGGACACAGAATGAGTGCGATAAAAAATAAAGGGGTAGAAGAAAATAAATGAAGACGTCACCACCAAAGACTATAACTGTAGTGTTTAATACTCACACGTTACATGGACCGAGCTAGAAACTATTCAAGAACTTGTGTTTGATTTGCTGAATAATAATAATGCAACTAAAAACACTTGTTTAAGAACAAAAAAGTGAAAAAGTAATTTCCTGCATAATTTCTAGTGTTACACTGGCTTTGCTTCCCCCGTGTGGTGTAGCAGGTTATTACCTCACACTGCAAAATGAACTCTACAAAAGACCCAATTTTTTGTTTAACAAAGTGAAAGTAATCTCGTGTAAACACTTAAGCATGCTAGTGCACATGTCCTAAACGCCAGCTCAGTTTGAGATTAGAACTTGCTGACTTTCTTTGCTAAAATGGTTTAGTGTTGTTGGTAACGTACCCAGAACTTGACAAGAAAGAATGCATTGTGTGGCCCTTTTTCGTAAAGCTCTTTCAGGCCTCCTTTCTTCTCAGAGAACTTGTCGTAAATCTGCCTCACGTCTATGGACTCCAACACTGGGTCACTGTAGCCAGGGTTTGATGGGCCAATGTGCACGAACAGATGTTTATGCTGTAGAAGGGAAGGAGAAATAAGTCCAAGAGGGTAAAAAGAAAGAAAATTTTTATATTGAGGACTCTTGTTTCAAAAGGTTCTGGCTGTCTGTACCGTCTCTCTGTCTCGTTGAGTCTCCATGAAAGCAGAGTACTCCAGTAGCCGTAGTTTTGCAGAGGCAATGGTTCTGTCTTGCCATACAGGAGCTGCTATAGCTGCAGGTCGAGGGGGTGGCAAGGCCTCATAACCTGTTTAACATTTAAAACTGTGAAACAATTCAAATAACAATATTTATTTAAAAAAAAAAACTGTGCAAATCAAGTTCACACTTACTGATAGGTGCAGGGACGGGGGCTGGGAGTGTAGTGTACGGCGGCTGTGCAAAGGGCTTGATGCTGTAAAAACAAACAGAAGAAATAACCCCAAAAATGAGTAAATGTACCTGCTTACGCAAGAAAGTTTGATTTTCAAGACAGAAAACCGAGGTATGTGCCAGCTATACTTACTCCTGAGAATGCCCAGGCTGTCCTGGCATAGGGCCGGGCCAAAACTACACAAAAGAGAAACAGGTTGAGTAAAACGATTTGCTCACGTTTACCCCGAAAAGTAGAAAACAACAGATGTGTTTGTGTTAGCGTCTCACTCTGACTGGTGGAGGAAAGGGAGTCTGGGGTTTCATTACACTCGCAGAGACGATCTGAGCTGATGAGAGATTGGCCACCGTCTGCAGCGCCTTGTCCTTCGAGACCTGGTCCTGAATGACAAAGACAAAGTAAAACACAATGACAAAACTCTGAAACGTCACAATAAAATGCAGGTTATCATTCCAAGATCAGCCAACTCCAAAGGCCACTTTAGACAGCAAGCCAGCCAGCATGTAGTGTACATAAGCATGATGCAGCAACTATATGGAAAAATAGCGCAGAAAGCAAAGCGCACATGAGGGGGAGCCGAAGCAGGAGGCAAACCAAGTAAGAAGAGCTAACCGTCACCAGTATTTCACTAAAGCCACTAAAACGAAAGAGCAACAAGCAGGGGGTTTTTTTGAGTCTGGCAATAAAACTGCAACTGTGGACTAGCAGCAATGTGATGCCAACCACACAACACAGAAGCCTGAAGCAGAAAACTGTAGTTGCATAACCGAAACTTACCAAGTTCATGGCCTATGGCAAAAAAGACATTTTATTAATTAACTTCAGTACATTCAAAGTAAAAGCAGATCACAAAATCATTGTTAGGAATATGCCTTGTTCATACTTCAGAAAACATTTAGATACATTCACTTTTTGCATGTTTATGTGTGAATAAAAGTTTTTTATTTTCAAAATTGAATAGAATAGAATAAAGCTTTATTATTCCACGAATGAGAAGTTTGGCTGTTACGCAGCTCTTATGGCAACTGGAATATAAAATATAGAAGCCAGACACAAAGTGGTCTTATATTAATAAGCAACTGAAGTTCGCATATAGAGATAACAATGTACAGAAATATGTATAATAATTGTACAGAGATATGTACGTGTGTGTGGGGGGGGTCCTTCGCTCCTACACTGTGGGTGTAAAAGTCCACTGCTGAACGAGCTGCTCAGTGCTCGCAGTGTCATGCAGGGGGTGGGGGGTGTTGTCCATGATGATGTTAGCTTAGACAACATGCTCTCCTCCCCAACCTGCTCGATGGACTTCGGCAGACAGTCCAGGACACAGCTGGCCCTCCTGACCAGTTTGTTAAGTCTCCCCCTGTCCCTCTCTGCCGTTCCACCGGTCTAGCAGACCACAGCTTAAAGATAGCAGATGCTAGAAGTGTTCCTAGAAGCACATCCTGAAGTTTTCTCTTTAACTACGGAAGCAAGTATTTCTTCGATAGAACCCAAAGCTAACTAATCGGTGTTCAGTTAGTTAACTGCAGAGAGGAGTACCATCTCAACAAGACTCAATCACTGATGATTCATGATTAGTCTGGGAGTAGTGCTGGTGGCACCATCAAAGTCTCAGCTAATGTCAGCGGATGACCCAGAAAGAATAAACTGCACAATCCATGTGAGCATGGCCGACAATCGAAAGTGACTGATGTCCACAAAGAACTTAATTTATAGTCCAAATGCTTTGACATACTTATTTCAACTATTTCTTTAAATAAATTTGTCAGCAAATAAACAGATGTGCGCATACATGAATAATAAATTAAATAAATAAAATCAAAAACCTAAAAACACAATTTTCACTTTGGTGTCGTGAGTTAATGAATTTAGGTTCATTTTTCAAGTTAAAATGAAATTTTCATGGGTGCAAAAGGTGAAATCAGCTGTAACTGTAGTCAAAAGCACTGCCTTATACTGAAAGAGCAGGATATGTCCTACTGATCTGTTCCAGCATAAAACTGAGTCCTTTGTTTATATCTGGAGATTATAAAGGTTACTCTCCACATGTGGACGGGAGAGCAGGTGGTTCAACAGATTTGGTGTAAAATGATGGTTTGTTTTGTGTAGAACAGAGAATGGTAAAACCACAAGAAAGAAATAGAGAGAAAAGATAAAAAGAAATGTAGGAAATGTTCAAGAGCAAGAATCTAAAGAAAGAGAAAAATCAACGGAGAAAACTTTTGAAATTCCTCAAATGGCCACATTAAAGACACCTTGCATGTTTACTGATATGGGGGCATGCGTGTAGGTTACATGCCGCTAGCATTGTAAACTAAGTGGTCAACAAAAGCCAGCAACCTAATCTGTATTTGTATTTGTATTTGTATTTATTTATTTATTGTCATTGTCAGAGAACAATGAAATTGCATTTGGGGCTTCCGTACAACCCGTAAATAAAATAATGAAGGAAATAATAAATACCCCTTAAAACCCAAGTGTAAATATTTAACCCAGTGTGACTCCAGTGCATCTCATGCAATTATTTGTCTAAGGCCACAAACTTGATCCAAGTGAAATGACCAACGTACCAGCCATGCATAAAAATGATGCCAAACATATATAAACACTCAAGAAAACAAACTTGTGTACTGTGCAATGCTAGACAATACAAGCAAAAAAAAATAAATAAATGTCTGTGCCCTACTGACTATATTCCAATCATGCAGCAAAGTCCTTCTATACTGGATTTAACTTTGGTCCATCAAAGTTTTCTACTGGTCTCGACAAAAAGGCTCCATGAAGGTTATATTGATCGTCTGCAATTTGATTAGCAGTTGCAGTTCCCTGGAGACTCGTATGGCCGATGTTAAGAACTAAGAGCAAGGCACCAGTTTTAAGGGCACGAGTCTCATGAATATGGTTGGAAAATATAGTTAAATATAGTTGTAGTTTTAAGGTGGTGGGAGTCGGCTTTGACAGTAAAGATACCCCCAATACAGGTAGTACCCCAGCAGAAAAATCTGCGTCTAAGATTGGGTCAAGTTACATCTGAGCATGCAAAGCGAAGCGGCTAGCATTGCAAAGTCAGTGAGCATGTATACCTTCAGCTTAGACTGAATCTCGCGAGACTTTCTCTTGGCCAAGACTTGCAGGTGACTAGAGACCTGAGGAAAGACAGGATGAAGGAAAAGGAAAAGGAAAGAGAAAAGAAGAAGGCTGTGACTACAGAGAGGAGTAGAGTATAGTCAGTGAGAACCCACCTTGATGCTTGCCTGGTATTCTCGTACCCTCTTACGTGCCAAAACCTGAATATGACTAGACACCTGTGGACCCAGGGTTACCCCCGTGAAAACACACATTTACACAATGATTTCATCATTTTAAACAGACAGTCCATAAATATTCATTTAAACAAGGTGGAACAAGTTACAATGAACAAGATGCACTTAAATCCTGTTACATAAAACAGATCAGTGGTGTAGTCGACACAAATATCTGTGCGTACCTGTTTGCGTGTGCGTGTCTTCCCCGTTCGCAGCTTGATATAGCGAGCTATCAGCTCATTTCGACCTGACATGACATAGAAACTGATAAAATTAGAATGACTAAAAAACATAAACACATTATACAATTGTTAAGTTATTCTTAAACTGCACTGTTTGGGCAGATATAGCTCACACCTTATGAGCAGACTTAGCATGGGCATATTCAAATGTCTCCCTGTAACAGTCACTCTCTAGTATTTACATTACTAGTATGTGGCCAAGCTGCAGTATTGTTTGGGCTGTTTGTGCTGCTGACAAACTGATTTGCAAAATGACATCGAGAAAAGTAAGAAAACAGGAGTGGTAAAAAAATTACAAGGTAAATGTGGGACTGACATGACTATTGATATACAATAAAATGTATTTAAATCTTCATATGATCAAGGAACCATATCAACTTAATCTAAAAAACAGCATCAATTCACTCATCAGTTCTACTATATCAAACGTTATTTGAGGCTGTTAGGTGGTTGCTAAGCAACAAGATGACTATATATTGCACGTGTCTAGCTTTGTGTATATAAATAAACGAAAATGATCCCAAGCTTGCTTTAATGGTGTCGCAGGTGCAGAAATGCAACAAATGGGTCGTTTTAGCCCACGTGTAGGTGGTTGCTAGGCAACGTGAGGACATCACTACTGTGTGCCAGCTCAGCTCCAATTATGTAGAAGGGTTTTGTGGTCAGACAGGTAGACAGAGCTTTCATGTATTATAGTAAGATTGCAAGTAGCTGCAGGCAGTAGCTCCCTCTGCTGCTTGAGCCACGTAGGACCCTGTAACTTTTTATGATGCTGTAAAAATAGACAGAATCACAGCTCCAAAACTGAACTGCGCGATTTTCTGAGGAGGAATGTCCTAGTAATCAAAAGAAATTTACAATAACAAATCTAAATGGCTGCATTTTTTTAAAGCCAAAGTTAATTATGACTGTTGTGGTTGATGTATGACAAAGGTAATGTAAAGCAAATAAGTTTTTTTAAAAAGGACCATCGTTCCTATGTATGTCTGTACATATTAAAGTTGTTAAATTGCACCACTTGTTGCATCCCATTTGTTCACTGAAACAAATATGAATCTAAAAGACAGGCGGACATGGGTGAACACTCCACATTAAGCTAAACTTCATTTGCCTTGAATCTGAAGCCAAATGTGGTTGTGGTCCAGTAGTTTGTGTCTCGCAATGTAAAATACAATAAGTACAATCGTAACACAAATGGCTGGACCGAGAGTCCTTATTGTTTGAGTTTAGTGGTCACAGTGACATTCAAATTTATGTTTAGACTGTCCCGAACTTACTGGTCAAGTTCTAAAATGAAGCTGTGCATACTTTTGAATCCACTGTCTGTATCTGCAAGCATAAAATAAAACCTCAATGTGATGCCACTTATGGTGAAATGTTTTAAGTGTGAAAGTGTGTTTGTGTGTGTCTCCAAGGTAGTGAGATTCTTATAAATCCCCATAAAGACTTGTCAAGTTCTCCTTTTCTCAGGCTGTAAGACATTTCTATTAAGAATAGCATGTATTAATTTTTAGTCAGGTTTGCGTTTGCTTGCTGGCAGACATTCAAAAGCGATGAAGAAATGGTGGGAATGGAGAGAAAAGCAGAGGAGAGGTCATGATATTGTTAACAGACTTCCAAAATGTGGTCAGCACAGACTGCCTGGTCAGCTCTTTCCTGCTCCCTCTTCTCAGTTCCAACCCACACCCGATGATCTGCTCGTCGCTTGTAACTTCTAAGTAACCCATTATACAGCACGCCGCAAGCGGTTAAATATAAAGGTGACCAGACTGATCCCACAGCTGTAATCATTTAGCACACATGCACACTTACTAACATCATCATCATCACCATCCTTTTTTCTGGAAAAGGCTGTGACGCTGTAGGGATTTCAGATGAGTCACATCAGCACTGTTAAGTTACCAGAGCACAGAATTTCCCAAAATCAACAGAAGGGGCTGACTCAGACACAGCAGTCTGCTCCAATTCCCAAAACAGGACACATGCACTACCCTGCAGCCTGCCACTACTCCACATAAGGGTAAAAGCTCTTTCTTTAGATGTCAGATCTATTTTGCTATAATATAAAGGCAAGATAAGCTACAACTATAAATATGTAATATAACCGAGCCACAAGGTGAGGGCACAAACCAGTGTACTCATAGTGGGCCGTCCCAAGTCCTGATAAATGTGACGGTTGCATCAGGAAGGGCACCTGGAATATAATCTTTGCCTAATCAAACATGCGGATCATCAAGAATGTAATTTCCATACTTGATTGGAAAGGGCCTGGGTGAACAACAATAGCCCCTGGTACTGTTAGCTAAGTGGGTGCCAGTGGAAACTGTGGTACTGTTGGCCGAAGACAAAGAAAGAAGAGAGGGGGAAGGCGTGTTTGAAGGCAGCAAGAAAGACGGAAAGGCAGGACTGAGGAGGTTTGAGTAGGAATTTAAATGCAGGAACTATGACGGGTAAAGGGAGAGAACTGGCCGACATGATGGATACGATAATACGTGCAAGAGACCAGATGGAGGGGAAGGAAGACCAGAAGAAACAGAGGTTGATTCCAACTGTTCTACCATGGTGTAGATAGGAAGTGAAATGAAGTAGGAAAGAAATTCCAAGTAAAAGTATGTGAAGAGGGTTGTTGAGGTGGAGAGAGTCAGAAATTTAAACTGATCAAGCTGAAGGCGTGGTGTTGAGTGTAATCCCACAGGCTGGATGTCCGTTAAAAGAGCACAAGGAATTCTGAAGTAGACTGAATAAAGTGATACAGAGTATTACCAGAAGGGAACAGAGAAATGATGAAAAGGAGACTCCATGGAGAAACGAGGACATGCAACAAAGTATTCAAAGAAAGCAAAGAAAAAGTCAAAGGGGAGTGGTTGGATAGATGAAGAAAGCAGGAGTATTGGAAGGCTAGTCATCCAGCAAAGAAAGAGGTGGTAAAAGCAAAGGAAAAGGTTTATAGTGAGTTGTATGTAAGACTAGAAACTAAGGAAGGAGAACAGGACTTGTTCTGAGTGACTTTTGGGCTGGAAAGGATGTGCAGCATGCTAGGATGATTAAGGATAGAGATGAAAATAAGATGCAATGAAAAACCCCCCACAGCTGAATCATGTTGAGTCTTGATGTTGCACAGTTGGGTACTAGAGGGTACAAGGCAACTTGGGCATCGCAGGTTTGGTACACTAAAAAGGTAACAATCTGATCGGAGTAGAGTCAGGCAGAGCGTAAACAAGTAATCCACAACTTGTGACAATAAAACAATTTATTTTTTAACTACACTGCCATGCTTAGTAAGGACTGATTAATCACTACACACAGCAGATGTTAGAAAAAGTTTTTTACATGACTGAAATAAAAGGATAAATACGTGGATTTTAAAAACACTAAATATGCATATATCAATCTTTAAAAACAACCCAGATATTTGTCACCGTGTGCTGAAAATGTTTTTCAAAGTCTAATAACGATGGATATAGGTGTGGTGTGATTTAAAAGCAGTAGATGGCAAAGTTAGTATATTATTTTTCATCTGCATTACTTATTAAATCATTAGAGTATTTATCCAGCACCCATCTAACTGCCAAATGATTATGAAGAGATAGATGATGAAGAAGCTGAGTGTTAAGTTTCAACAAACTAAAATATCAATCCAATATTAAAACATCATTACTGACACGCACACACACACACACACACACACACACACACACACACACACACACACACA